CCCTTTATTACATTTATCCTCGCCATCCATAGTCTCTAAATAACTTATTTCACGTATATATGATATTTAGGCTCGCTCGCTGGTCTCATCATACAACGGCAATGAGAAAAGCACCAGGAGAGGCAGCCATAACCTCTGCCGCACTGAAGGGGGCGAACGTGAGCCCACAGGTTCTTGTTGCTACTGTTATTCTACGCAGACGCAAACAACAAGCTAGACTTTTGAAACTACAGGAAGATAAGGAGGACTTTTACAAAAATGTAATGGAGATTGTTGTCCAGAAGGATAGCATGGACTTCATCTTCAAGTCAAGGTAAGACCACAATTGTAATGAACATGGGATCTTACTAAGAAAGAACAATCCAATATTTAGATTTTGGGTATCCTTTTGTTGAACAGTCTGTTTAAAAGGAATCGAAGCATCAGACTAAAAAAGCTTTTGAAAATAACCGAACATTTCGATTAAGGTCAAAATATAATATTTGTAAATCTGACTCTGAAAGAGTCAGTGCCTCATCAGCCATGAACCTCACCGCACGTCACTGATACATACATACATACCAAAAATATGATAATTTCGGTGTGTATTTTTGTCCTTACCCTTAATGTTAAAGGAAAGAAGGGAGGAAAATGTTGACAATAATTTATATATCTGGCTACCTTTCTCATGTTTTTAAGGTTTCCCAAAACCGAAGAGAGGAGGAGGCAGTGGGAACTCGCCCTAAGAAGGGACGGTTTTGTATTATGTATTTATTAAATCTTCATGTTCCATGAGACGCAGCACTATGTTCCCCACATATGTTTATGTTTGCTCAGTCTAATAAACCCATAACATGGTTGTGAAAGAATACCAAAGCTGAGGCTGGACGATGATTGATTGTTGGTGTGCCATGTCCATGTGTCACCGTGTGTCTTATTGGTTTTGTGTTATACTGTATTTTATTGTGTGCAGCTGGTCCTTATCTCCAAGACACATTTAAAACAAATAACCTTGAACCTTGAAGCCCCATCTCTCCCCACCTGCTCCTGCTTCCTACATCCCCTCCACACCACACCAAGTTGTTCTTCTTAATAATAATAATACATTTATTTTGGGGGGCCGCCTTTCATAACACCCAAGGACACCTTACAGGGGCATAGGGGCAATATAGGGAACAATTTAAACAGTGGATTTTGTGATATATCAGCCGGGGGGAGACAAGACAAACCACAAATGGACTACAGAAGGACACAAAAGGACACATGGTACAGTTTATATTATTCTTGGTCTTTTTTCAATAACATATTTCAAAGGTTCTGGATTTGTTTACAAATCTAGAAACTAAATACAAAACTAGGATGATATGAAGATCTCATGTCAAAAATAATTGTGATAAATTAGACAGAACTGGCCTGTCTGTGAGCACATTTTATGTTGGTTTGGTTCTTCTGATAAAGGTGTGAATATCTAAATAATATACCAACATATGCTATTGTCATTAGTTGTGTCCCTGTTCTTCAAGCTAAGGCATTGTTAAATTAACAACTCTTGGCTTACAGAGTGGTAACATGAGACCGATTTTTATATATAAAATATAAATGTATTTTAAATCAAATCAAATCAAGTTTTATTTGTAGAGCACATTTAAAAACAATTTTGGTCGAGCCAAAGTGCTGTACATGTAATTTAAACACATAAAAACACATTACATCACAATAAATCACAACAGATAAAAACAACACATGGAACAGTCAGGAGTCGTAACCCCACTCTAACTAGAAGGCCAGAGAGAAGTAGTGTGTCTTCAGTGTGGATTTAAAAGCCCCTAGGGTCTGGGCCGACCTCACATAGAGGGGAAGAGTGTTCCAGAGCCTGGGGCCAGCTGCTGCGAAGGCTCGGTGCCCTCGGGTTTTGAGCCTGGTCTTAGGCACTACCAGCAGCAGCTGGTCAGCAGATCTTAAAGCTCTGGCTGGGGTGTAGCGCTGGAGGAGTTCAGCTATATAGGCCGGAGCCAACCCATTTAGTGCTTTAAATACAAATAAAAGGATTTTAAAATCAATTCTGAACCTGACTGGAAGCCAGTGTAGTGAGGCCAGAATTGGGGTGATGTGGTCACGCTTTTTGTGGCCAGTCAGGAGACGTGCAGCTGCGTTTTGGACTAGCTGCAGGCGTTTAATTGATGCCTGGTCCATACCCACATACAGAGCGTTACAATAGTCCAGTCTTGAGGTCACAAAGGCGTTAATAACCCTTTCCAGGTCTTTAAAAGATAAATACGACTTGGTTTTGGCCAATAGTCTTATTTAAAAAAAGCAGGATTTTACTACAGTGCTGACCTGCTTGTCGAATTTAAAAGTGCTATTAAAGGTCACTCCAAGGTTCAAGACAGAGGGGAGGATGTTTTTACTTAGGGAGCCCAGAATATCAACCGGAGAGGCTAGAGGTTGGGGTCCAAAAAAGATTACCTCGGTCTTGCTCTCATTGAGGTTGAGGAAGTTTTTGCTCAGCCAGGATTTTAACTCTGTTAAGCAGTCCATCAACTGCTGTAGTGAGTTGACATTTGCTTTGAGAGGCAGATAGATCTGTACATCGTCCGCGTAGCAGTGGAAGGGGATATTGTGTTTCGTGAGGATTGAACCTAGGGGCAGTATGTACAGTAAAAAGAGGATGGGGCCCAGAATTGAGCCTTGGGGGACCCCACAGGTAAGAGGGGCTTTGGCAGAGGAGAAGGCACCTAGCTACACTAAAAAGCTACGGTCTGTCAGGTAAGACCTGAACCATGCAAGGGCAGAGCCTGTGATGCCTGCGGACTGTTCAAGCCGTGACAACAGGATGCTATGGTCCACAGTGTCACAGCTGTCAGGTCTAACAGCACTAAGACAGCTGGGCTGCCTGAGTCGGCGGCTAGGAGCAGATCATTAAAAACTCTTAAAAGGGCTGTTTCAGCATGGGTTTAAAGCCAGACTGAAACTTTTCATGGATGCCATGCATGGTTAAGAAAGACTGCAGCTGGGCGTAGACTACTCGCTCCAGGGCTTTTGATAAAAAAGGTAGCTGGGAAATGGGCCTAAAATTTGCGAGAATGGAGGGGTCAAGATTTTTCTTTTTAAGTAGTGGCTTGACCACGGCATGTTTGAAGGCAGCTGGGACACATCCTGAGCTAAGAGAGGTGTTTATAAGTAATAAAATACTTGCTCCAACTGATTCGAAGACGTCTCTGAGAAGGCGAGAGGGAATGCTGTCTGAGGTGCAGTTTGTCGGCCGCAGGTGCATGACTACATCCGAGAGAGAAGAGAGGGATACAGGCTCAAAGTGGTCGAGGACAGCAGGGCACAGAAAGGGAGCAGAATCTGGGGTAGCACTAGTGTGGGCTAGCCTAAGAGCAGATACTTTTTCAATAAAAAATGTAAGAAACTTATCACAGAGAGTAGTCGATGGCACAATTGGAGAAACATCACAGGGATTAATGATCGAGTCGAGGACATTAAAAAGAACCTGAGGTTTATGGCTGTTTTTGGAGATTAACAGAGAAATGTGCTGTGTTTTGGCTGCTTTGAATGCCGTCAACATTTTAATGTTATAATTTATTTATAATTTATTTTAAATATTAACAATATAATAAAATAAATGGAAATATATACTGGCAAAAATGTTATATAAATACCTTGTGTGTGTGTATAGCTATTGCTTTATCTGATTAATGTTATTTTCATATGAAAGTCCATGATTATAAGTATGCAGTATCATAACTACATCTTTGATGTTTATAAAAACCCAAACCGTTTGAAAATTGGTTGAAAATTGAGCAAGCTATGGTTATTTAAATAGTAAACCATAATGTTATGAATGAGAGAACTGCCTGTGGCAAGATGGCGGCCAAGTGGCAACGTCGGTCTCCATTGGCCAGCAGCGCGGGTGAGTCATATAGTGTTTATATATATCTATGGTTACACCACTAGACATACCAGAAGTTTGACTTAGCAGACATGATTCCCCATGTTAATGGAAATATTCAGAACTGCTATGTGTCTCTATTATCATTTGGTATTAAAAAATACTTGTTTAAGATTATGCCAATGTATTTCAGAGGCTGTTTAGAACATTATTACACATTTTTTCAACAACTTATATTCTTGGTACTGCATTTTTATGGTTACACCATTTAGACAATATTGCCCTTATTCTCTCAATATTATCTCAAAACGTAACAAAATCAGGTATTTCAAGATATGGGCCCAAAGAAAATGATATTTTAAAGTAAATTATAACTTTATTGTGAAATGTTCACATTTTTAAAGTTATTCAAACCTCAGGGACAGAAAAAAATGAGTGGCACGTCTTTCACCCAGCAGCAGTTTAATATGAGATAATAAGTTGGCTGCAGACTGTATATCAAGGTCATGTTTGCCCAGGGGAGGACCCAGTGCTCTTAGCTGTGAGCAGCCGTGATGGGATACTATATTAAGACGCTGCTAAAATAACTTAACATCAGCACAGGCAGACACAAACCATCAAAGGTAGCCTACTTTCCTCGTAGTTTGCAGTATTTAGCTACACAAGGTGAAGCTAGATATGTCATATCTGTGTGAGTTTGTATGTGCTGAAGCTTTGATTTGATATTCTCCCTCAGTGATGGCTGCGTGTATCTTTCTCTCCCTGCGTAGTCTGTTTTGAGGTAGGCCTATTAGATGGCAACTCTTGCTAAACACAGTTACCTAATTGATTGGCAAAATGAATTTGTTTCATTAATTTCTGATTATGCTTTCATAAACTCATCAAATGATGTATCAAACTGTAAGTTTAGTTACTGGGGGTCACTCTCCTGCAGTCCTGGTGTTCACCACATCAGTGTTCATGCTGCTGGTCCAATATGCAGTCCAATACTGCAGCCTTTTGACAGGGAGCGCGCTTCCAAATTTACCCTCCCGCTGCGCTCGCTCCCCTTGCCTTAAAAAACCTCGTGCACGGCTGAAGGTCACTTAAACACAAAAGGCTTTCAGCGCTGCGGTCCAATATAGCGCATGCGCGCTGCCGGAGGACTGCTTCGCAGACTGCAATATGGCGAGCATGCCTGCCAGCGGAGACACGGAGCAGGAGCAGATGAGCTGCCCCGAGAGGAGCAGGGAAGAGGAATATGAGGAGGAAGATAAAGATGAGATACAGGAGGTCCAGATCACCGGGGATGAAGAGGACGAGGATTCCGACAGAGATGGTGTGGAGCTGGAGTGGGAGTCTGGGGACACAGTGCTGCTGGACTCCAGCGGTTCTAGCGCGGAGATACAGGCAGTCGTTATGCGGAGTATGGACCGAGGAGAGGAGGAGGGGGAGGCGGACCCTTTCAGCAGCAGCATGCCCGCTGGGCTGGAGGCTCACCTAGAGGGAGACATTCAGCGGACAGAGCGGAACAGGCTGAGTGAGAACACGCGTCTGGCCACCCGGTATGCGGTGAGGATCTTTCGGGATTACCTGAGTGAGAAAGCCCAAAGTCCAGACTTTGAAACTCTGGATAAGGAGTCGCTGTGCGCGGTTCTGCGCTCCTTTTACGCGGGGGCGCGCTCCAAAAGTGGACAGTTGTACAGCAAGTCGTCCCTCATCAGCATCCGGAGCTCCCTGAACCGGTACCTGAACGAGCCACCCTACTGCCGCACATTGGACCTCACCAAGGACCCCGAGCTGCGCAGCGCCAACCTGACCCTGGCCGCGGTCATCCGGCGGCTGGAGGAGCAGGGCGCCGGTCCCGTGGTGCAGAAACAAGCCATCACGCGATCGGACCTGCGGAAACTGTACGACTCCTCCGTGTTCAACACCGACACACCTTTCGGGCTGCTCAACAAAGTCTGGTTCGAGACCTGCATGTATTTCTGCACCCGGGGCCGGGAGAACCAGCGGGAGTTGGAGGAGGACTCGTTCGGTCTGGCGGTGGATGAGGACGGGAGGAAGTTTGTGTATTTTAAAGCTCTCGGGCCGTACCACAAGTCCCGCTCCGCCGCCTGGACCAGGAAGCGTCCGGACTCAGACGAGGACACTCTGCCCCGGATGTACGAGACCGGCTCGGAGCAGTGTCCGTACGCCAGCTTCGTCCGGTACGTGTCTAAACGGAACCCGCTGTGCAGGGCGTACTTCCAGCGGCCCCGGGACCACTGCTGCGCGAGCGACATGACGTGGTATGAGAACAAAGCTATCGGTAAGAACTTGTTGGGCACAAGGATGCAGATGATGTCGCGCGCCGCCAAGCTCTCAAAGACCTACACCAACCACTGCATCGGCGCCGTCTCCATAGCAACGCTGAACAGCATCGTTGGCGCCACGAGCTCCAGGCCGACGACGACGCTTTACGTTGCCTCGGAAACGGTCAACGGTCACGCGCAGTCCGACATCCAGCTCGTGATCCCGTACCTCCGCCTGGTGACTGACGGTGAAGATGTGAAGCCGCTTAGTGGGGCAGGTGCAACGATAAACACATCAAACACGATGGATAGGGTCCGCGAGGAGGACTCGGGGGCTCCACACGCCAAGAGGCTGTGCGTGCGCCCCGGGACACGTGCGGAGACGCCGATGGAGAGGAATGAGAGCAAGTCGGATTCCCTTGATCCTCCGCAGCCCGGTGCGCGGTCCCCCTCGGCGCCCACACAGGTAACAGAGGACACGTGACCTCTCCCGCATCAGCACCACATGTCTCCTGTTTGTGTGCACATACTGTAGATTCTGTTTTTACAAACTGAGCTCATGACGTCCCCCCCCCCACGCGCACCCTCTGTTCAAGAGGACATGTTCTCTGTGAATTACGTGCACGTGTGTAATGAATGACAGTGTGCTCAACATGAAAGTGTTATAGAATAAGAGGGATCAAACAGCTTGGGCACTACTATTTGTTTCAGTTTGCGCATTGGCACAATGGTTGTGACCAGGGCAGGGGTGGAAGAATAATTGTTTTACTTCAGTAAAAGTACCAAAACCCAAATACAAAAATACTTCATGAAAAGTAAAAGTCCTTCATTCAAAATGTAGTAGCCTCTAAATATTGGTGTAGCCTATTTAAAGTCACATCTCTCACAATGCAGTGGAGCAACTTTCAGAGTTACTATTATATTATGAACCATTATTACTGATGTATCATTTAATTGATTTAAAGTAGAAATGAATAAACAAATTATATTTGTAAACTCTATTAAAAACTGTAATGTAATGTAAAAATATTATATATAAGTACAAAAGTTCCTCAAATGTTTACTTTAGTGCAGCATTTGAGTACAAACACTACATTCCACCACTGATCTGACCACAAGTGCTGGTGATGATTCCTGAATTTTAGAAGCGTCATATGGGAAAGTTTTGAAAAAAGTTCCTAAAATAATGAGCTCAAAAACACTTAAGCTTCCATAAAGCTCTCTTTGGGTTTGTCCCGGTTTGTCCCTACAGGTGATACCGCTCATTTTACAGAGACATTTGATCCATTGTTATTGATAACATTTCTCTAACTGCAGCATATCCTTATTGAAGTTGCACTAATCCACTGTATGTTGATATGTGCAGTCTTATGGAGTGACAGATGGATTAGTACTGACAGTCTGTAGAGAAGTGTGACGCTTTATTTACAGTATTTTCCAATACTTTGGTGTTATAATCTAAAGTGATGCCCTTACACCATACTGCTGCTGTTGGATGACTGTTCTAAAGTGAGTATGGATATCCGGTCCCTGTTGAAGTTTGACTACACTAATTTTACCCCACGTGTGCTTGGTGTCCCAGGACAGCCGTGGCAGCAGCAGCAGCAGCAGTGTGTGCAGTCAGCAGCGGCTCTCTGTGTCTCCTCTTGGCTCAGCCGGCATCCCCACAGCAGCCCAGCTCACCAAAACAAACGCACCTGTCCACATCGATGTGGGGGGACACATGTACACCAGCAGCCTGGCCACCCTTACAAAGTACCCTGGGTCACGGTGAGAACACCCATCCTCTACTGTTCACATAAGCTTATATCAAGGTGTTTGGTATTGTCACCATCATTTGTCCATTAATAAACATTCCTGTTATGCTGTGTTCTAAGACAAACCAAAAATAATAACACTCACTCACCCAATCCAAAAACTAGGGCGCTGAGCTTTGTCGTGCCATCAAGTTTAAAGTCTGGAACTGCTCCATACCATGAAATCTGAAAGCTAAATGACAGTGAGAGCACACTGGGGAATGTTCTGAGTATATTGAAACATTGTGTGTTTGACAACTGAAACACTACAATAGGAAACTTCATTTGAGTGTTGAGAACAAAACAAACCACTCACATTGTCTTAGTAGCTCTTGACATCATACTGGATGACATCACAGTTTGACTCTCACTTTTCAGATTTCTGGCTTGAGGGAGTAGCTCATATTTACAAGTTGTATTGATTCTTAGACTATAGATATTACATATAGGAAAGCATAAGATCTAAACATTAAGCTGCTGGCCACATATCTTAGGTCATCTGTGGCTAAAAGACATGAAAGGCTCCCCAACATTTGGTTAGTTTTCGCCCATGTTACCACAGCATGGTACGGCTCTACTGGATTCTGATTTCTTCAGAATTTCCTTTACGATAGAATCGCCTCAGTGTAGTTTAGGTGTGATGATTAGTGGTTTGGCAGAGCGACACTGCTTGGAACTTTTATGTAAATGTAAGACTAGCTGGATTCTCTCTTCTACAAAAATACAGTAAAATAAAAGCTCTGCAATTAGTCATTTGTAAGGCATCGTGTACGACCTCGATATTTTAGCTGGAAAACATTTGTTTTATATCTGGGATGAGAAAAGAAAAGAAAACGCAATTGCTATTGACGGTAGTTGCTAATTAAAAACATTGGGTGTGTAACTGAGGTCTTGTTGCGTGCTAGCTCAAATTCTCTCTGACCAATCAGGGATCTGCAGTTCTTTTCACTTAGCCATTTAAAATCCACTCAGCTCATTTGCAACATCAGCAGATGTGTTACTTAAAAAGGTACTATCCACAGTGGAAAAACCAAAAGAGCAAGCCAAGTGGAGAGGATGGGTACCGTGTAGTGGACACACCTTTGGAAGAAGAGTTCTCCGTTTCATCTGTTTCTTCTGGCAGGATCGGGCGTCTGTTTGATGGCACGGAGCCCATAGTGTTGGACAGTCTGAAGCAGCACTACTTCATCGACCGGGACGGCCCCATGTTCCGCTTCATCCTCAACTTCCTCCGGACCGCAAAACTCTTCATCCCTGATGACTTCAAAGTGAGTGTCTGTCTAGAACTGTGATCAGGTACTACCACAGTTTATCACCGCAGTGTCTGAACAGGGAGACCAAGAGACTGAGGTGTCCAGACAGGAGGAAGAGTTAACTATGGTCAAACGTTAAGAGGAGTTACAGAAACCTTCCTAAGAGTGTATGATGTTGTAGTTACCACAATGGCTCAGAACTTTTCAGGCATCCTGTCTATCACAATGTTGTAATGTCGGTCACTGAACAGGGCACAGCACTTTGAACTAAGAAGCATGCTTTTGTTGGATGTAAGTCGTATGATTTCCTTACTGTAGTTCCTTTCAATATGGGATGGAATGAAATGAAAATGGACAATTTTGAATCATCATTTTATCGTCACACAAGTGCAAAGTTAAATTTAGTGCACTTAACCCATGCTAGTTACTGTAGGTGCAGTGAGCAGCTATTATATACAGAGCGCCCTGGAAGCAGTGTGGGGGTCCGGTCAGGGACTTCAACCAACGACACTCCCAATGCCAAGCCAAGCATGCACTAAGATCCAACAGCTCACAACAAAGTCAAGACCAGAGCCTATCTGGCTTTAGGCTTAATTTGATCACAAATGATGAACTATGCTCATTATGTTCATTATTATTATCATTACTATGCTATTACCCAAAGCTCCTTTGGGTAAACTGACGGCAAATGAGCTGGGGCTCAGTCCCTGCTGCAGCGGACGCAGGTTCAAATCCGGCCTGCAGCCCCGTTACCCTTCATCCTCTCTATCGTTACATATTAAAGGCTGAACTGGACTTTAAAATGGTCTATTTGATTAACAGTCACATTTGGTAATTATTATGATCAAAATATTGAACCCTAAAATATAATGAAAAGGGTTAATTATGACCGTGTCCTTTCTCATTTACGATGATGAATACTCAGTTAAATGTATTGTTTAGATTAGCAATTTCGAAAAACAGACAGGAGTACCAGCAGGAAGCTTATCAATGAGTATTAGTGGGCAGAGAGTGTGAAAATGGCAGCCACAGACTGTTTTTGTCCGAGCATTTGATTTATTGGTTGCTGTCAGTGTAAAGAGGCAAGGCAAGGCAAGTTTATTTATATAGCACCTTTAGATTTACAAAAATGAAAGACATTCAGACAAAGGCATTTAAAAACAGTAAAAGATAATAAAAGAAACATTAAAATAAAAAATACATGAATAAAAAGTGCATGAATAAAAAGTTACAGTACAGTTTAAGATATGAATAGTTCACACAGAAGTTCCACTTTACTGATGAACACAACTGCTCAGTTTCAATTAAAAGCAGCGACAAAAAGATAAGTCTTCAGCCTGGATTTAAAAGTAGTCAGAGTTGCAGCGGACCTTCAGGTTTCTGGGAGTTTGTTCCAGATATTTGGAGCATAATAACTGAACGCTGCTTTACCATGTTTAGTTCTGACTCTGGGGACAGAAAGCTGACCAGTCCCTGAAGACCTGAGAGATCTGGATGGTTCATAATTTAGCAGGAGGTCAGAAATGTATTTTGGGCCTAAACCATTCAAAGCTTTATAAACCAGCAGCAGTATTTTGAAATATATTCTTTGACACACAGGAAGCCAGTGTAAAGACTTCAGAACAGGAGTGATGTGATCCACTTTCTTAGTGTTAGTGAGGACTCGAGCAGCAGCGTTCTGAATCAGCTGCAGCTTCCTAATAGATTTTTTAGTGAGACCTGTAAAGACACCATTGCAGTAGTCCAGTCTACTGAAGATAAAAGCATGGACAAGTTTTTCCAAATCCTGCTGTGACATTAGTCTTTTAATCCTAGATATATTCTTTAGGTGATAGTAGGCTGATTTAGTAACAGTTTTAATGTGACTGTTGAAACTCAGGTCAGAGTCCATGACTACACCTAGATTTCTGGCTTTATCTGTTGTTTTGAACATTGCAGGCTGAAGCTCAGCGCTAACTTTCATACGTTCTGCCTTGGCAGTGGCGTTTCTATATGTGCAAAAGTGGTGGGGCACAAAAAACTTAGATAAGCTTCTGCAGAGAGGTTCATGGCTGGTGAGGCACTGGCACTGACTCTTCAGGTTTACAAATATTATATTTTGACCTAAATCAAAATATAATATTATTTTCAAAAGCTTTTTTTGTCTGATGCTTCAATTAATTTTAACAGACAGTTCAACAGAAGGATACCCAAAAAAAATAATTGTATCATTTAAATATTGAATTGTTCTCTCTTAGTAAGATCCCATTTTCAATAAAATTGCGATCTTACCTTGACTTGAAGATGAAGTCCATTTGCCTATCCTTCTGGACAAAAATCTCTATTACTTTTTTGTAAAAGTCCTCCCTATCTTCTTGTAGTTTCAAAAGTCTATCATAAATCTAATTGATAGATTTATGATTCGAAAATGATAAAAGTAGGATATTATCCGGCTGAACAAAACGTGCATTTATCTAACAGGTACGTTTCCCACAGATCTTATTTTGAGCTATTTTCTAAAATCCCATGGAGAAATCTCATTGCTTTTTTGTGGAGGGAAGCCATGCGCAGCTTACTTCCTGGTTTTAGGACACGTCTCTCTCCTCCTCTTCACACACCACACTTTTCGCGGCACACGTACTTACAGCCAATCAGCTCTGAATTATGTGAGATGATGTATGGTGGGGATGGCAGCTCTATGCCTCTATGGTCATTATTTTTTGCCACACACATTAAATAGGAAAATACTCTGAGCATGCGCAGTGTAGTTTTTACAGTCACCGTTCACTTAGACAGTGAGAGGGAGGGGCATGATCGGGTTTTGTCCCACATGGCTCTAAACAGCTCAATAGGCACACACTGTAGACACTAATTAGAAGAACACATACTAAAACAGCAATGTACAGACGAATCAGATGATTAAACATGATCTTAAAATATATTTTAATTTATTTTTTGCATTTTGTTGTAATCATTATTTTAATACTTTCTGCTGACACTAGGTGGGGATGTGCCCCACCTGCCCCTAATGACCAGTCGCCACTGTGCCTTGGCTCCAAAGACCATTACCTCAGTTTTGTCTTTGTTTAATTGGAGAAAGTTCTGACACATCCAGTCATTGATTTGTTCAATGCACTTACTCAGTGTTTTAACTGGAAAATAGTCTCCTGGTGAAATGGTTATGTAAATGTATGTGTCATCCGCATAGCTATGGTAACTTATTTTGTTGTTTTTCATTATCTGAGCCAGTGGTAGCATGTAGATGTTAAAGAGAAGAGGCCCCAAGATGGAGCCTTGAGGAACCCCACATGTCATATTTGTCAACTCAGATTTGTATTTACCTATAGAAACAAAGTTGTTTCTGTCCTTTAAGTAGGATTCAAACCAATTTAGAACTGTTTCCGAAAGTTCCACCCAGTTTTCTAGTCGGTCTAGTAATATGTTGTGGTCAACAGTGTCAAACGCAGCACTGATATCTAATAATACTAACACTGAAGTTTTGCCACTGTGTTTAAGTGGATGTCATTGAAGACCTTTACAAGAGCAGTCTCAGTGCTGTGGTTTGGACGAAAGCCTGACTGGAACACATCAAAACAGCTATTTAAATGCAAGAAATTACTCAACTGTTGAAAGACTACTTTTTCAATGATTTTACCTAGAAATGGGAGGTTTGATATGGGCCTGTAATTGTTCATTACTGAAGCATCTAGATTATGATTTTTTAAGAGCGGTTTAATGACTGCAGTTTTCAGGGTCTGTGGAAAAACACCTGAGTGAAGAGACTTGTTTACTATATGAAGTAGATCTGAGGCCATGCAAGGAAAAACATTTTTGAAAAACCCTGTTGGAATAATATCAAGGCAGCAGGAGGAGGATTTCAGAAGTTGTATAATGTCCTCTAAGTTTTTATCATTAATCCGATGGAATTGTGTCATGGTGTTTGAATTGATTTTAAGTGGGCACAGAGACAAAACATTTGCTGTACCTGATGCAGAGGCAAGAAGAAGGAGACAAATTCATTGCACGCCCTGGTGGATAGAAATTCAGAGGCTACTGACACTGGGGTGTTAGTTAGTCTGTCGACGGTAGCGAACAAGGCACGTGCGTTGTTTTTGTTTTTGGCAATGATATCAGAGAAGAAAGACTGTCGGGAAAATTTCAATTCCAAATTATAAAGGCCAAGTCTCTCTTTATAGATTTCAAAGTGCACCTGGAGATTTGTTTTTCGCCACCTGCGTTCAGCTTTTCGACACTCTTTTTTCTCTGTTCTCACGGTCATGGCCTTTCTCCATGGAGATATTTTCTTGCCAGACACTTCCTTTACCTTAGTTGGAGCAATGGCATCTATAACATTTTTTATTTTTGAATTAAAATGACCTACTAGCTCATTTACTGAGATGTTAGCAGGGGCAAGTGTGGAAGAAAAATTCTGAGTAAACATTTCCCTAGTGTTTTCAGTTAAATATCGCTTTGTGGTTACCTCTTTTTGAACATTTTTGTGAACAGAAATAGAGCTCTCAAAGAAAACACAGGAATGATCAGAGAGTGCAACATCAGTCACCACAACCTCAGAGATATTCAGACCCTTTGAGATAATTAAGTCCAGAGTGTGCCCCTTATTGTGCGTGCATGGGCTCTGTCACATGCTGAGTCAGTCCATAGCTATCAAGAACACAAAACAGTTATTTTGCCCCTCTGTCCTGGGGGTTGTCAACATGGATGTTAAAATCACCAACAATGACTAGACGGTCAAAGTCAATACACACTATAGACAGCAGTTCAGTAAAGTCATCAAAAAAGCTTGCACAGTATTTGGGTGGTCTATAGATATTTAGGAACAGAGCTCGAGAGGAGCATTTCAGCTGAAGGGCCACATATTCAAAAGAATCAAAGTTTCCATACGATGTCTTCCTGCATTGAAGGGAATCATTGAACAGAATAGCAACTCCACCCCCTTTCTTAAGCATTCTTTCCTGACTCATAAAACTAAAGTTGGGAGGGGTTGATTCGATAAGAACAGCTGCACTGTTATTTTGTTCAATCCAAGTTTCCGTTAAAAACATAAAATCGAGATTGTGCTCAGTGATAAAATCATTGATAAAAAATGTTTTTCCTGCCAAAGACCTAACATTTAATAAAGCTAGTTTAAGTTTGTTAAACACACTATCAGTCATGTTTTTTGTAACAAGCTGTGGCTGACATGGAATCACTTCTAAATTTGATAAACTCACACAAACCTTTGAGCGTTCCTGTTTCTAAGCTGATTCACCGCTCTTAATCTATTACCTATCAACACAGATATCTGCAAAGCTACTGGCAGGCAGGGCCCCGGCATGTCCTGGAAAGAGTTGAGAGTGCCATACGCCCTTGAGCCTGGACCCAGCATATATCAGTCAGTGTTTGCGTTTTTTACACACACATCCTTATCAGGCTTCGGAGACAGCAGTCTTGAAGGGGGGGAGGACGTTTTGGTCCGGATGATTGTGGTAGGCATGGTGACGGGGGTGTTGGTGCGCATCCAGGGGGAGGAGGTAGTTGACGTAGGCACGGTGACGGAGACGGGGGAGGTGGTGCGCGTCTCTGCTTCGGTGATTTTGATGGGCGTCGTTAAGGAGCGGGGGTAAAGGACATGCTGCCAGCCCTGCGTATCACCTTAGTTTGGTTATTGAACTCCAGGAAGGAATCGGTGCCAACCCTCTGTATCTCCTTCATGTGTTCAGCGATCTCCAGGAGGGTGGGCGAGGGTGAACGGAGAGTAGAGAGAGCTGTGGGGTGAAGGAAGAGTATCCTCAGAGGTGATAGGGGGGGTGAAGGGCGGTGGAGACTCCTCCATTTGTCTCCCATAATCAAGACATTCCTCAGGCGGGTGCAGTGATAGATTTTCAAGGTTTTCTGAGCGATGTGTTGTGTCTTTCTCTAGTTTTGATTCCTCTTGTTGCTTGTCCTTGGCAGAGGGAACAGATTGATGACGCAGGCAGTTGAATATGTTAGAGATAAACAATTTCACTCCTGACTTGTTCAGGCAAACTCCATTTGCCTTACAAAGATGACCAATTTTTTTTAAATATGAAACAAAATTTTCGAAAATGTATTACCCACTGTACACTGAAAAACGTTTTGCTGCTGCCCCCCTTCGCAGCATAATATTGTTAGCTTCCTTTGGGTAACACTGCCTATAGAGTTGTACATCAAACAACTTTAAAACACCCAAACTATTCTTCTAATGTATGTTTGTGGGCTTGTGCTTCTTTGTTGTTTGTTTATCTCCTAGCTTTTTTTCTTTCTTTGTTACCTCCGTATGTGTGTATATCTCTCAGCTTGTCTTCACCTATTGTATATGTGTTTTCTGTGTGTGTGTGTGTCTGCAGGAATACTCACTGCTGTATGAAGAGGCCAGCTTCTTCCAGCTGACTCCTCTGCAGGCTGCTCTGGAGCGCTGGAGGATGGAGCAGGACTGTGCAGGTGTGTCCCCGCAGTGTGAGTGTGTGGTGATTCATGTGGCTCCAGAGCTCGGTGAGAGGATCAGCGTGAGTGCCCGCCGGGCCACCATCGAAGAGGTCTTTCCTGAAGTCAGAGACGCCATGTCCAGTTCCGGAAACACCAGCTGGAGCCAGGAGTCCACACACATCGCTCGCTTCCCACTCAACGGATACTGCCAACTCAACTCTGTCCAGGTACTGGCTTAGTTTCTTTGTGGGTTTTCTTTTACTTTCTGTGAGCATACAACAACAATAACTGATATTATAGGCCCTGCTTTAAAAAATGTGCTTTTGGCTCTCACCAGCGTGACCATTTATAAAACTACAATAGTGATAAATAACAAAAGCAACCATGGATGAATTTTGTCATGTATATATCAAGAATAAGATTAATTTCCAAGTTACTGTGGAACATGTAACTGATGATCTTTCGCATGCACTGTAACTCCATAAAGATTTCCAATTATTAAACAGAAAACATAAATGATTTAAACAGTCTGAGAAACTTACTTATATGCCAATTTTTTAATAGTCATGACCGTACTATTAACTATTTATTGATAATATCCAATAATGTAAGCTATTTTACATTCAGGATTTCTCATGTGCATCTAGTTTTACCAGCCATACATTGAAATTGTTTTCATAACTCTATTGTAGCACTGTGGAGCTGTATAATCTTGTCTCTCCATTAGCCCGTTCCTTTCCCGGAAAGGACAAATCAAACTGTAGGGACTTTTACGTACATCAATGGACAATTTAGTTCTCAGCTGGAAAGGGAGGGGTATTCACTTGTTTGCAATCTACAACCTCAACACTAGATGGCACTATATGTAAATACTACACACTGCTCTCTTAATTATTTGTTTCTATAAAATACATTACGTCTTGATTTGAAAAAAAACGATTGTACATTTTACTTCTCATCTCTCAAATAATGAACAACGACTTTACTGAGTCACATTCGTTTTTTTACATTTGTTATGTTGCAGCCCTTTGCTAGAATTAATCAATCTATACTCAAAAACGCATATTGACAAAGCAAAACAATGTAATACATTTGGTATATATATTCTAAGGAACACTGAAACATCATATCGACATAAGCATGAACTACTTAATTGAAGCACCTTACCAGTGATGATAGCCTCCAGTCTGGATTCCATTCGTCTCTGCAGATCGTCTCCAGCTTTGTCACATTGAATCGGTTTTTCATTAATTAAATTACAGATCAATATTCAGTCAAAAAGCCGTGAATGAAAACGTTGACAATGAGCCGATGAATTTCAAAAGTGGAGATGAATTGACACATTTCATTGCTGTATGTCTGTGTCGCTTTGTCTCAAGGGAAATACCAGTGAGACAGAGAGAGCCAGAGAAGCTCCTTAGGGCAGACTGAGATAATGTCACCATGCTGTACCCTTCAGTAGGGAGGGGAGGGAGAGACACACTAATGGACTGCTCCTGAATGTTGGTGTTTCAGGCCACAGGCTGGTGGATTTTACCCAGATAGCATGAAGAGTGACCCTCTTTCTCAGCTATGATCAACACATTTAAACACACACACACACACACACACACATCAATGCAGGCGTCACCAGGTTACACATTAATCATAGAATGTTTTTCTTCTTTTGCATTTACACTGACCACATGTAACTGGCAATATCATTTTAGGGTATCACATTTCCTCTTCTGGAGTAAATGTATTAATTTGACTGTCCACCAGTTGAAGACACTTTAAGAATGAAATACAAATGAAGAAAACATTTTGATCAATTTCTACAATGTGCAAAGCTCTCAGAAATGGTTGGAAGTGAGAATACACAACCAAATAGCCTACCAAAGAACAAGCTATTTGTTTTGCTGCTTTTCATTCCTGTATTTGGTGGTGTTTCCTATCTTTGTTTCATTGTCTGTAGGCTATGTATGTTTATCCCCTGCCTTTATCCATTTACACCAACTAGCTCACAGCTTAGAAGGTATTCATCTTAATAAATAAGGACGCTGACAACATAAAAGTAAAAGTTCTCTTTCAGGACTCAAATTGACTAGAGTTGATGAGCTCTATTCTGGTGCAGGGGCAACAATCTGTTAAAGGGGCCATATTTGTATTTGGTGTCTCTACTGTGACATGTTGACATTCTTTAATGTTCAAAAAGCTCTTTATTTCTCTCGTACTACCTGTGCTGCAGCACCTCTTTTCACCCTCTGTCTGAAACCAAAGCTCAGTCTGCTCTGACTGGTTAACTGGTCAGCTATGTTGTGATTGGTCGACCACTTCTTGGTGAGAAACACCCCCTTTCTCAATGTCGAGTATACCTGCTGCAGAGCCACTATTTCAAGTATACTACGTCATCGAGTGTTAAATGCCCAGCATTCGGCGCCACTCGATGACGTACTATATGAAATAGTGGCTCTGCAGCAGCTCTAGTCGACATTGAGAAACGGCCCTCAAACAAGCCTGTCTGGTTCCTCAGGCTCTCTGCATCAGCTGTGTTAAGAGATGAGCTCCTTTTCACTTCTGAATATGCATAAAGCAAAGTCATGAACACCTTCTTCTTCTTCTTCAGATGATACAGTTAATACAGAGGTTCAGAGAGCCGAAAGGACATCATCTCACCTGTAGATATGTTTCTGGTGCCATACTCTCTCTTCAGAAGACAATAACTTGTATCTTGGAGAAGAATGTTTTTTGTGCTTCGGATGAGTAAAGTAGAAGGTCAATACTTTGTCAATGTGGAGATAGCTTCCCATTAACCTGTTTGAGATCTCTTACCTAAGCTTTGTGTTTCGGTTCATTGCTCCAAGAGTTTCTATCACAAAGAAGTACATGAACACCAATCACATCATTAAAAAGGCAGCGCTAAGACTGCTCCTTTTTCACTTTTATGAAGCAATCTTGTTACAGATGGGCATCTGTTTAATGCCCGTTATATAGTGACGCCTGTTAGCGCTTTGGTAAACTGCATGCTGACACAGGCTTACACTTTGATGTACTATATGCGCAGATGCTGAAGGGTACATGTGATGGAGTTGTGAGTTACTGAAATAAAGCTGCAGACTGAAACAAATCCCTCATCTACTAAAGAGTTCAGACGGTCAAACTAAGAAGAAACGTACTCAGTGACACAAACGCCTCCAACATCATTGGCTGTGACCATGCCTCATTGCCTCAGTTGATTCAACTAGCAACTGCCGTGGCATCATTTCGATAATCTGCTGCAATGTTACCAGAGTTGCATTCATTTTTCCGCCAATATCTTGTATTTATGATGGGAGAGTGGCACCACTGCGCAAAGTCTTCTTCAGCACATCACAAAGATCCTCAATGGAGCTGAGGTCTGGACTCTGTGGTGGCCAATCCATGTGTGTAAAGGATGTCTCACGCTGTGTGAGCCCGATGAATCCTGGCATTGTCAACGATGAATATGCCCGTGCCAATCAGGGAAGAAAAACTCCATTGATGGAAAGACAGGAGAGGTTTCTCAATACTCTAATTTCCCCTCCTCGACTCCCCTCCTCGACTCCTATCCTCGAGACTTAGTCCCGCCCACAGGAGAGCGGAGGACTGAGGAGGGGAACCGAGGAGAGAGGAGGACTGAGGAGGGGAACCGAGGAGAGAGGAGGGGAAGCAGCAGGCGGTTAGAGAAATGAGAACTCCTCTCCTCTGAGCGGTCATTTTAAAGAGACGTCCATTAATGATGACAGGAGGCACAGCAGCCCTCTGTCTGATGGACAGATGTGTTCATGACCACTTATATATTTACTTTGAATTCATTCACTGTACGGTATAATGAGACAACAATTCAATTCAATTCAAAACCTTTATTTATACAGATAAAACCCATTGAGATCATAGACCTCTTTTACAATGGTGACCTGCTTCAATTAGTTCCAAACATTAATACAAACATGACAGAAAACAAAGGACATTATATGATACTACAGTTTGTATACTAGTAACAGGCTACAGATGCGGACATATACACACACATTTATATAAATATATACCATTTCAGAATCAAACAAGTATGAGAGCACTCTCATAATAACGTAACACTATCAGAGACTGGATATATCCCCCCCCTCTCTCTGGTCGCTGAAATGGGGAATTGAAATTACGGGCCAAAAGTTGTATTTACAAGTAGGCCTATTAAAAGTAAGCAGAGGACACTAAACCAACTGAGACCCGTCTGTCCGCCGCATCTACGCACTGTACCACACACACCTACACACACCTAGCTCCTAAAGCATAATAAGGCTACAGCTGTTGTGTATTTTATTAAGCACTAAATGGTCTTAGAAAAATATCGACTCTTTGTTTGTAGATACTACTAAACTACAGCATACAAATACAGAGAGTAATGTAGGCGGGTCATTCTACAGAAAAGGTGGATGAAGTGTGTAAATGTGCTGCTCTGCTTTGTGTGCCTGCAGGTGTTGGAGCGGTTGCAGCAGAGAGGGTTCTGGATCACAGGGTCATGTGGCGGTGGAGTGGACTCATCCCAGTTTAGTGAATACATTCTACGGAGGGAGGGCCAAGGGAGCCGACGCCCCCCCAACCTCATACAAATAAAACATGAACTCACAGACTGAGTAAGAAACTCCAGCAACTGTTTATCACAGCAAGAGCCGATTCACTTCAGCATGACAGAAAAAAAAACACTCTGAAAACAGGCTGTATGGGTGACTGAGATGCAAGTCTTTTTTGATACTACTTAGCACATGAATTAGACGGTAGTATTATTACAGTATAAAATAGATTCATCGGTGCAGGGGAACAGGGGGAAAGGTGACGTATAGCATTAGCATTTATATTGAAATGAAATGGAGGCTAGCACTGTAGATTATATATTTGATGTCATTTTATATTGTGATATAGTATATTTCCAGGGAATCAAATTGAAAAAACATTGATAGATAACAATGAGAGGCTCATGACTGTTTTTGTTTTATCCATCAAATAAATACCTGAAAATCAGGGCACTTCATCACATTGATGCAAAAAACATGTACATTGGTCCTGCTATAGAACAGTCCTGCTCAGAGATTTAGACATCGCCCACATTTTCCCCAGCAGTTGTTAAAGATAGACCTATCAAGTTCAAAATAGAAAGTACAGTATGTATATTAACTGTGATTTGGACCAAACCTATTCCTATTGTCCATGGTCTCAGACCACGTGCTGAACACACATGCACTTTCACATCATGCTTATGTTTACAGCATGATGAAAAAATACACTCTTTGGAAATGACTGGTGGCTACAGCTCATCAAATTAGTGCATGTTTTTTTAGGGCTTATAACGCATTAAAGAGGCCCGCTTATTTTTCCGGTTCCCTGCCGAAACGCCTAGATTTGACTCGTTTATTTCCGTATTATAATGACATCACTAAGATACTCCCGTCTCTATTGGCTAGTGCTCTAACACACTGTACATGGTAAGCTAAAGGGCTGGATGTTTTCGAAACATCTCTAAGCGGTTGACCAATCACAAGAGAGCTGGCCAGTTAACCAATCAGAGCAGGCTGGGCTCTGGTTTCAGACAGAGGGTGAAAAGAGGTGCTGCAGCACAGGCAGTATGAGAAAAATAAAGCGCTTTTTGAACGTTGAAGCATCGAAACATTAGAGCAGTGGTTCTCAAACTTTTTCTGTCAGGAGAAAAAAAAAAGTCGGGCCCCCCCAACACAAATAGTCAGGCTCAGTGGCGGCGCCAGAGATTTATTTTGGGGGTGCTGTGGGGTAGCTTGACGTTTCATAGAGGGTGCTCAAACATTTATGGTTTCCCATTAATGTACCGGGCGCTACAGTGGAATGTTCTACTGCAACACTCCCCACACATATACACAGTGTACCCGCGACTGTTACCATGAAGGCTCGATAATCAGCTCACGGCATATAGGTGTAAGCAGGGGTAAAGTACTATTTTTATAGGTGGTGTGTGGACCTCACATAGGGGGGTCTGGGGGCAAGCTCCCCCGGGAAGATTTTTAAATATTGAAGTTAAAAGCATCAATCTGGTGCACTTTGAGAGCAAAATGAAGAGATCTATGGATACATCTCTCAACACCCATTTGAAACAGAATTGTAAACAGATTTACTTTTTCTTTATGGATATTTTACAAATCACTCCCCTTTTAAACTGTATTCTTTTTTTAATATATAGTATTTCATACCTGTTTTTAATGTATTCTCTTATTTTATAACTATAATGATCATATAAACGTGTGCCTCGGAAATAATTGTTTACATTAATGGTGACCAAAACGTTTGAGACCCACTGAGATAACACTGAGAGAGTCCTTTAGCTCACTGAGCCTTTGTTGTTGAAAAAACTCCTTATATCCGTTAGCGTAGCTCGCTAGCACCAGAAGCTAACAACAACAATCTCTGGTACCAGTGCGCGCTCTCTCTCTCTCACTCGCGCACACACACAAAATGGCTCGTTCCACACACACACACACACACACACACACACACACACACACACACACACACACACACACACACACACACACACACACACACACACACACACACACACACACACACAGAGCCAAGCTTTAATGAAACACAGAGACCCAGATGTAATAGTACTGTATCATATTATTTTCAATCAATAATATTTCAAAATATGATTTTTTTTTTTTTTTAATCTTTTTTTTTTTTTTAAATAACCATTTTTCCCCCTGGTCTCTCGCGCCCCCCCTGTCATGCCTCTGCGCCCCCCTGGGGGGGGCGCGCCCCCCACTTTGAGAACCACTGCATTAGAGGAACAAAATACAAATATGAACCTGAAAATAGAAGAATTGTGTTATGTTTATGTAAGAATGTCCTCTTAAAGGTGGGGTAGGTAAATTTGAGAAACCGGCTTGAGATACACTTTTTGTTATATTCCATGGAATGCTCTTAACATCCCGATAGCAATGAATATCTTAAGTGCTTTGACAAAAAAATCCATTAAAAAAATGTCATCTGTGGAAGCCGTAGTACAACCAATCATTTGAGCCGGGCCGGCTAAAATAACTGGATGGCCTACCTGCCTGTCAGCCTTCCATCTGAGCACAAACTTATCTTGTGCCCTCATTGGTCATGTGCGCGTTCCTGTGTGTTGGAGGAGGGGCTCTGTAAGGAAGTGGCAGATTTTTCCCGGCTATGTATTTTGTATTGTGTAATTCTAGCGCACTCGAGCTGGTTTCTCAAAAATGACCTACCCCACTTTCAAGATACCTTTTTTCTAGTATATTGTGACTTAAAAAGTCTGACAGATTAATACTCATATTGGATTTTTCTGAAACTGTTCACCAAGGAGAAAATGATCATATCAATAATTTGTTTAATGTCAAAGATGTACTATCCTGCTGATAGGGCTTTTCATTTTGGAAGATAACGACACAATTACAAAGTTTAAAGGATCTGTTGCTGTTCAGACTTGGATCACAGGTCTACAAATAGTCTGAACCATTTCACAGCCAAGGCTATTCGTCATGATGCACTGTATATGTTGTATAGGTACAGCATATGTTCAAGGCAACGGTGTATAAATCATGAGGTAGAGCCTTGCATGTACCGTTGCATTATGTTGTACTACTTGCAGAGACCATCATGTACTTTATCATAAAGCAAATCCAAAGTGTTTGCATTTGGTAAAGTACACTTTTAGAGCACAACACTGATTTATGACTTCCTGTAATATTTTTTATAATAAAATAGCAGAAGAAGAATATACACAGAAAGGATTTGACTGTTTTTCAACCCAAAATGTCACATTTTTACAAATTCTAATTGGAAACGATGGGCTTTAGGAACAGAAACCCAGGCCAGCATTGTTAATATATATCATGTTTTCTCTGTTTTGCATAATTCTTGTGAGAACATTTTATGATGAATAAACTGGAAGTCATATCTGAAGCGCTTTGCAGTCTGCTTTGTTCTTTTGGCCAGGGGTTAAGAGAAGACGGATATCAATATTGCGTCTTGTTTTTCAGGTTAGACAAAACACATATACCATGTTAATAGCAAAATCTAGAAAATATGGAGGTTGCATTTTCAAACTTTGAACAGAGACAAGCGAGCCATTTCAATTTCAAAAATATACATGTTATAGGAAATATATAACAGGAGACTGTCTAACTCATGTGTAACTCCTACATCGTTTTTTCTTACCATTGTGGAGCTCCTCTAACTCAAAACAACCGATGATAATACAGATAACAGGATGTGATGAATTCAAAAAAATGTTTAATGGTCAAACAATACATGAAAAACTAAAAATTCAACTGAGAATACTTCTACTTTTTCAACACTGTTCATAGAACACTTAACAGTAGTGTTTCCTAGAAGCTCTCGTCTTATTAACTCATCTTTTTAAATCATACTCATAGATTCATCAACAACAAAAGCAAATAAGTGCCGAAGAGAGCAGCTGCTTTCCAACACTCCAGCACTACGTTCTGAACAACGTATTCAAAAATAAATAGATAACAAACAGAAAGATCTTAATCCAGGTGCAAACAAACTAACTAAAGACTTACTGTGGATAATAATGAAAGCAATTCAATTATCACCTGTAGCAACTCAGAGCATGGCTTTGTACAGGGTGAGAGAATGGCGGAGGAAGCGATCCTGCTCCATACACAGCAGCAGGTCCCTCAGCATGACCCGGGACACTCTCTGTGCACACTGCCTGGGCAGCACAGGCACCTGACACACACACGTAGAAATATGAGAGGGTTTTTCAGATAGATTTGTATACAAATAACAATAGTCTTCATTATCATAAAGTAGCCCTGCACAGTGAAGCTGCTGTTATTATGGCCAGTGTTTGACACATTTTCATGTACTGTGTTATATAGGCTTGTGTTTGGTCTGCAAAGGCTAAAATCCCAAAGTTCCCTCCGAAGGGAGTTTCTCTCCGCCCCCTGCCTGAAACACCTCAAGTGGACTCCTTCGTTTGATTCCATAACATATTGAAGTCACTATGTAACACTTGCACTTCTATTGGCTAGCGCTCCAACACATTGTACTTGATAGGATACGGGCGGGACATCTCCAAGTGGTTAACCAATCAGAGCAGACTGGGCTCTGGTTTCAGACAGAGGGTGAAAAGAGGTGCTGCAGCACAAGCAGTATGAGAAACATAAAGAGCTCTTTGAGACATGTCACAGGAGAGGCTCAACATACAAACATGAGCCATGAGTTGGTCCAAATGAATTTGACCTTTTCAACATAAATGATCTGAGTTAATGCCATTCTACAATGATGAATAAATAAAACATTGTTCTTTCCCACTGTGAAAAGTGAAAGTTATATCACAATTGATGTTTTACTAAGGCTGTACCAAAAAGCTGACATTCTAATCAGATGAATTAATTTATCGAAAATGAAGATTTTGTTCTGGCTGTGATTAGCATTTGTATTAAGGATTATTACATGTGAGGGTGATGTCATAACATTTGACAAAATACATTGAAATCCTCATTTGAAAGCCTTAACCAAAATTAAAATGTTAAAATAAATGACATTTTGTACAGCCCTGTATCAGTAGCCCAATAACACGTTCCACCGGTTCTCCACCCGAGCTCATGAGTGAAGAGTATCTGAGAGAACAGAGCTTCCTCCACTCACAGGAGCATCCCTCCTCCACCGCCCCTGCATCAGTGTGAGCTGAGGTAAAGCCGGTGCAGAGGTAGAGGAAGCCCTGCGGCGGTGAGAGGCGGCAGGCAGCCGGTTCCGCTGGGTAATGGAGTTCAAAGGCAGCAGGAAGCATGTGCAGCTAACAGAGCGTCCTCGTCTCTAAACCTAAAGCCAGCAGGGCTCAACTTAAACGCACAGAGGTAAAGACTCAATGAGCTAAACTCACAGTCTCACTGATGCTGACTGTGGAGAGCTGCGGGCTTCCTGTGTGTCTGCCTGGACTCTATAGCACCTCGTTCCATCATCTTCTTCTTCGATATATCATTTGGTAAGTCTTCTGTTGGTCTTCATTCATTAGAATTCCACATCTAAACTGGTTAAGCTACGTAAGTGTTGGAGGTTGTCTTAGTCGAAGAAACATGAGAGCAGCTTGGAAAAGAGTGTTATAGTCTATCATTACACGGCTTAGTAAAACAACTCAATTCTGATTGGTCAATTTGGAAATTCAGCGGTCTGTTCTTTCTTAATAGCAGAACGCTGCTCAGGTTGTCTGATCAATGGACTGTGTGCAGTCATATCAATCCACAGGAGTAAGTCCGGTCAATCTTATGTCAGCTTTGGCCAATAAAACATTAATTGTCCTCTATCTGAGAACACTGTGGAATGCTTTTTGAATAATGACTTATATTTGTGGAGAGAAACTTTGGATTTAGGAGCCCTAAACTGTCCCCAGTAAAGACAGAGAGAAAGAACAAGTAAACTGCTCAAGAGCAGTAAAGAGGAGGACGTCAGAGAAATCAGCAGAAGGCAGACAGGAAGTAAACACTAAAGGGGACAGCAGAAGAAGACAGACAGGAGCTAAACACCAACAGGAACACAGAGTAGAGGTTTCTCAATTCTTAAATGTTCCCTCCTCGACTCCTATCCTCGAGACTTAGTCCCGCCCACAGGAGATGCGAGCGGAGGACTGAGGAGGGGAGCCGAGGAGAGAGGAGGGGAAGCAGCAGGCGGTTAGAGAAATGAGAACTCCTCTCCTCTGAGCGGTCATTTTAAAGAGACGTCCATTAATGATGACAGGAGGCACAGCAGCCCTCTGTCTGATGGACAGATGTGTTCATGACCACTTATATATTTACTTTGATTCATTGACAGTGCGGTATAATGAGACAATAACAGGCTACAGATGCGGACACACACACATATTTATATTAGGGCTGTCAAGTTAACGCGTGAATAACGCGTTAACGCAAAAAAAAATTAACGCCACTAATTATTTTAACGCGATTAACGCATGTGTATTTTTTTCCTCGGCCGCCCCGTAGTTTCAGAGCGCATCGAGTTTAAAATACCATCTACAAGCTGATGCTGACAGCCCCGCTCCTGCTGCCCGCTTGTGGCAGACCACACTTCCATGCTCACCGGCAGGCACCGACTGGCCATCAGGAGGACCGGGAGGGTGTGTGTATGTGTGGCCCGAGCGAGAGAGAGAGAGACCGTACGTGCATTGTTGTTGTTAGCATCTGGTGCTAGCTAGCTGCGCTAACAGATATAAGGAGCTGTTTAAATGAAAACAGAGGAGCGACATTTCGCCACAACTGCGCCGAGCACTTGACTTTATGCAGGAAGCCAGACAGTGGGACATTGTACGAGAAGTCAGCACACTCAGCACGGATAGTGCGCAACATGATTGCAGCGTCCAGGCAGCTCCCGTTCGAGCATATGCCTGGAGTTGCACATAGCTCCAACGATCCATCTCTCTCACACACACACACACACACACACACACACACACACACACACACACACACACACACACACACACACACACACACACACACACACACACACACACACACACACACACACACACACACACACACACACACACACACACACACACACACACACACATCACACACACACCCAACACACACACACACACACACACACACACACACACACACACACACACACACACACACACACACACACACACACACACACACACACACACACACACACACACACACACACACACACACACACACACACACACACACAACACACACACACACACACACTACACACATCACACACACCACACACACACACACACACACACCTCCTAAAGCATAATCAGCCTACAGCCGTTGTGTATTTTATTATGTGAAGCACTAAATGGTCTTAGAAACATCTGGACTCTTTGTTTGTAGATATCTACTAAACTACAGCAACTAAAGAGAGTAGGCCTGTTATACTGAGTGATATATATTATACACACTGCTCTGCTTTCTGCATGGACCTCACAGCTGTTCTCACTGTAAACATGATGATGAAAAATGATGAAAGCAGTTTCTAAAATAATATCCAAGGGATGCATGCATAGCTGTCATTGGCTGAGATAAGTCCGGACGTGCCTCCACCGTTCCCGGAAATGCATCCGTGGAGGAACCATCAGTGTATCCTCGGTTCGAGCTCCTCCAGAGAGTCTCCTCGACGCTCGATCCTCGATGTGCATTTAGAGAAATGAGATGTCCTTCAAAATGGCGCTCTGAAATTCATTTCCGGGTCACTACCGGAGGACCGAGGAGTCGAGGAGGGGAAATTTGAGTATTGAGAAACCTCTAGTATGGACTCTGGCAATGTTTAGAGACTGGCTGATGGAAAATAAATCGTGAACGGACTTGGACAGCTCTAGAAAACCTCGATCAGTGCTGCTGTCACGGCAGTTCCAGCTGTTGCTGCTCAGCTGAACTGACTGTTTTTTCTTAGCTGAAGCAATGTGATCATTTTTACATATATTTTTATTTTAAAATCAATATTGTGAGTCAAACCGCTGATTGTGGTTGGGGTTATTTTCTCATTGATGACCGGCTTGAAGCATATTATGTATTACTTTATAAACTGTTTAGATGTTTACACTTTCAGACAAACTGAACTGAAGACTTGTGTCTTCCTTTAAGACAACTGCATCTATTATGAGCAAAAACAAATATTGTCAATGCTCAACTCATGTTCAGTAACCCAAAACAGGTACTTATACCGCATTTATTAGGAAGGAGGATGTTTTTATGAACGACAAACTTAAATCATTTCTCCCTTTTTTCCTATTAGATGCGCAACTTGTAATCACCGCTGCTTTGAGTTCCTCTTTTGACCAGACATTTTGTTTTTCTTCACTCATAACAAACCATTTTCTCCACATTTCTCATGTCAATGAACTTCCTGCATCAGCTGTTTCACATTAAAAGCCTTACAGCAGTTCAAATGACATGAGTCATTAGAAAATGTCTTTGTAGGCTTTTAATGTGAAATTAGAGTCTCATCGCAGTCCTCAATGTATTTTTCAGCACACAGACCTACCTGGCCCTCAGTGAGCTCCAGGGGCCTCTTCCTGCGGGGCCCGATGGCAGCCAGAGCCGTGAGGTTGGCCTCTCTCTGCTGAACCTGAGCCTGTTCCATCTGCTGCATCTGAAGAGAGTAGAGACACGGGATTATATAGTATAATATTTAGACATGTATAATAATTGTTGGGGCTATTCAGCTGGCACATAGACTGTGTGGTCGAGTGTCACGAAACACATACACACCTCTTTGGCTCTTTGCTTGAGCAGCAGAAGCTGTGGGTCTTCAGTGTGAGAGCGACTCTGGGATCACAGACATGTTGAGTTAGTAATACTGAAACAAATAGAATGTGGTGTGATCTAAAATAACATTGACATTTTAACAAAAAAGACCATTTTAAATCCTTCAAATGGTTAGCTTTATAGTATACTCGTCTTGGTTGTGTAGATTCAATTACTTTTTTTCGAATTAAAAAAAAGTAAATGTCGTATAAGTAAAAAAGGGGCAGGCTTCTTTCTGGCCCAGCTTACTCTGGCCAATCGCAGCAGCCTCTCTCTCTCCTCGTCATTCTTCCTCTTCTTCTTCAAACTCTCCACTTCCTCCAGGAAGCGAAGCTGGGAGCGCACATCGCTAACTTTGCTATGCCAACAGTCCTCCTGCGCACACAATTTATGATTACTAATCATAATGATTACTAACAACATGAGTGCCATTATGCACAGACAAAATACTCAGCAAAACAAGAAATATGACAAATAGCTGCATTGACAATGAGCCATATAAATGACATCAATGAAATGATATAATGTGAAAAGGATGTGTAAAAGCTAGCACAAATCTTTGTAGTAACAAGAAACCAACCAAACTGCTGTATGACACGTATAATATTAATAATAATAATAGTAATACATATCATTTGGAGGCGCCTTCCAAGGCACCCAAGCTCGCCTGTCAATGAATAAAAGAAATGCTCTAACAGCAAATCAGCAAATTATAAAATACAGACAGGGAAGACATCAAAGTAGACAATAAATTAAAAAGTAGATCAGTATGGAGCAGGGGTCAGCAACCCCTGGCACGCGCGCCAGCAGTGGCACGCGGCACCGTAACCAGTGGCACTAGGAATAAGTGTGCAAAATATTTAAATTGTATTTTCGGATCCTGAACGAGACCGCCGGCAGAGCGCGTCTCCCCGTTACAAGCAGAAGGAAGCCATGCACGCAACGCAGCCCCGCTCTCTTTATCTCCAGGTGACTTTCTGCCGCTTTCCTCCGTGGTGAAACCATCAGGGGTGTAGTGCTGCCGGCACTTCACTAATTACAGTATCCATAAGGAGCTGTACAAATGCCGCAGTTTTTGCGTGGCTGTGTCTTAAGTTGAAAGCCCAGTGGCGATCTGCTCATCTCTCATCGAAATAACATGCTACACAGGGGCGGACTGGCCATCTGTGTGTTCTGGAGAATCACAGAACGGACATTATTATTATGCCGTTTAAACCAATTATTTAAATGTGTTTAAACGGCATCATGTAAGTTGTGCTGACAGGTGAAAGAGGTCCACACACTGCTTCCCCGCAGCAAGGCTCCCCCCGTTGACAGTTCACGATCTTTTTTTAAATGGCACTTCATATCAAAAAGGTTCTGACCCCTGGTATGGAGGGACATGACAGTAGTTACATGAGCTAACCAGATCTTTAATGCTAATGTGAATGCTAATCTGAACAGTTGAGTTTTGACGTGGGATTTGAATGAGGTTTTATATATATATACATACATACATACATATACACACATATGAACATATACATACACACATATATATATTTCAACATATTTATTGTTGTGTTAACAAGGATAAATCACTTCTTTAAATAGCAGTTTAATTCACATGGCTGTACCTTCAGGGCTGCCTTGCGGTGGTCTGCCATCACGGTGAGCTTCTCCAGCAGCCCCCGCAGAAACTCCAGTGTGGCATGAGACACCAGAGCCCCCACCTCCGGACCCACCTCCGTCAGCCCCAGACCCTGACCTGACACAGCACACAACAAGAGGCAGAGACACATCATAGCAGGGGGGTGAATCATCCAGCCCACAGGATGGATTTTCAAAGTGTGAAAATGACAGAAAATACATTAACTGCATTTTTTCATGTATTTTGTATGTACACATTTTAAACATTTACAAGACAGGGGGATAACTTAACGTTCTTCCCTAATAGTTCCCACTTTAGTTTGTATGGTGGTGTGTCAGTTCAGGGGGTCACGATTGCTACACAGATGTGGAAAGGGATGTACAATAAATTGCTTTGATTCTAAGGGAACATTTGTATTGTTCAGTTCCAGATAATGTGTTTAGATACACTGTGATCTGTAAGTTTGAATGCATATGTGAAGTCATTGAAATTGCACTCATTTTCTTAAGAAATGTCAGGTTGTTCATATTGTTTTGTAAAAGATAGTTAATTAAATGTGAACATTTGCAGAAAGTACATTTGCAATAAAATAAGAGAAGGAGTTGTCGTTATTTATAGGTTATTATGATAGGATTGTACTGGTCCGGCCCACTTGAGATCAAATTTGGCCCCTGAACTAAAAAGAGTTTGACACCCCCAGCATTATAGCTAAACTTGTAAGGAAAATGGTTCAAAACACAACATGTTAGCTTAAACAACAATATTTAGTGTTAAAAATGGTTAATTATACTTGGTGTGGCTTCAATGAATACGTTAAATCTAATTCTAAATGTCGCCTGGCACCATTTCCATACTCATATGTTTAGGCCTGTGTTGGTTGGTTTCTTTGTGTGTGAGAGAATCTGCTATTTGTTGATGTCATGCTGTCTGCATGTAGCTGTTCAACTACAGTATGGAAGAAGAGGACCAAGGCCCCCGTTTCCTTCCAGGGGTCAGTCTGACATTGTGGAGGATTCTAAGAACTCCAGCCAAAAGCCGCCATTTCTTCAGAGGAGCTTCAGGTCCTTCATCGTCTGCTAGACACTTCCATTTCCCCCCCATGAACTGTGGGGTTCCTTTGGGAGTTTTTCCTTGTCCGATCTGAGGGTCTCAGGACAGAGGGTGTTTTATTCGTATTCTGTGGTATCTGCTGCAGTGTGCCGGGGAGCAGGCAGAGGGCAGCAGCCTCAACAAACTGATCCTCAGGGCCAGGGATGTTAGGGGGGTTCTTTTTACGTTCATATTTTAGGTCAGGGGTGCCCAACCTTTTTTGAACCGAGAGCTACTTTCAAAGTTGCCAGTCTGCCGAGATCTACCAGTCCAAATAGAGAGGCGTAGCCATTACTGACAGCCTACTACCAGGTAAATACACACTTCTACTTGTATAAAACTGACCTTTGTACGATTAATACTCCATAAAATACTGCAGATCCTTTATCTTACCTCTTTCTAATCTACACACATACAAGTATTTAACTGAAGCTACACAACAGAGTTGTTGATACAGAGTTGGAGTTTATTCACAAGTCACATACTACAGTGGGTAATGTTTTCAAGAAACATTGAACAGTGCTGCCACATATGACACAGGAAAAAAAGAAAAGACTCTGAACCCTTTCTTTGCCATTATATAAAATAGTGTTGCTACAAAAGTATAAATTAGGCTTACTAATAAGACAACTCAGATCTGAAGCTACACAGGAATCTGCTGCAACAGTGCAATAAAAAAGACAAAATTAATAGAATCAAACCCTTTTTTTGTTGCATTTTAGTAGATTATAAAAAGAAATGCCTTTAAAATAGGATGCACGCAACACTAGTTTCTTAACCTGAATTGATAATAAACTATAATCAATTTAAGTTTGCATTCTTATACCATTTTGTACAATAATTATAATGAATAAGTTCAAACAAACTAAAACTTACAGCTGATTAATAACGGTATCCAACTTGAGTTTTTATTATATCAAAAACCTGTTGAAATGCTTCTGTTATTTTTACTGTCCCCAAAAAGCGCGTCGGCAGCCTCCAGGAATGCTTCTTTCACAACTTCGCCGTCTTCGAAAGACTTCATGTGTTTCTCAAGAACGTGACTGACACGATAAGATGCTCTGGTAGCAGCCTTGCTCTTGTTGTTGGGCCTGGTGAAAATGGACTGCTGTGCATTTAGCTGTCCTTTCAGGCCCCTCCCCTTTTGGGAGCGTAGAGCAGAATTAGGAGGGAATTCCGTCTCGTAGCGTTTGTGCACTGTTTTGAAATGCACACACACACACACACCTACTGTTAGTCCAACAACACCCTTTGCTGGCGGCATATTCATTACAACAGACACCTATACACTCGCTAACTCTAACCCTAATGTTTATTTGTAGATATCTCCTAAAGCCTACAAATAAAGTGTGACATGTAGGCCTGTTACATTTGTTATTGAGCGATATATATTATACACACAGTTCTGCTTTCTGCACTGCCCTCAGCAGCTGTTCTCACTGTAACATCACCTAACATCCAGGGGACATGTGATTAGTGAGTAAACAAACGGTAAAGGGCAGAAAGTCTGATGCACATTTGATCATCTCAAATAACTTATAATCACAACGGGAACAGTTTGCAGAGCTGTGCTTTGTTGACAGAAGTCCAGCCATGCGTCACACCTCTTTTAAACATCACTGTTGGCTGAAATCGTCTCAGGAGAATACTTCAGTGTACCCTCGGTTATAGCTCCTCCAGAGACACTCCTCTCTCCTCTAAATCAGTGCATCTTCGGTTACGGCTCCTACAGACAGCCTCCTCGATAATCGATCCTCGACGAGCCTTTTGAGAAATTTGTTTTCCTTCGACATCCGTTTCCGGGTCGCTGCCGGAGCACCTGGGAGTCTGGGACGCGAAAATGATAGAAATGAGAAACGGCTCATTTCCCAGGACTCGCGCGCATCTGCTTGACGCCGGGACGACCTGCCGCCCTCCCCGACAGGCGCACGGACGCGAGGGCCCGCTCATCACTGCGCGCACAAGTGCGACCGCAGTTTTAATTGTTCTTATTGTCAGTTAGCGGAGTTTCTTACCTTTAAAAGGGTATGAAACATTAATAGTTTCATAAATGTTAAGAAGCCCTGAGACATGTGAGAAAAAAAAAACTGTGGGAGGGGTCCACTGGGGGACCTTCGGGCTTAACTGGTTAGAGAATGGAGCAACTGTCACAAAATCAATTTCCACCGGGATAATAAAAGCACTGATTAACCTCTAATGAACCCCTGGGGGGCGCAGAGGCATGACAGGGGGGGCGGGGCGCGAGAGACCAGGAGGAAAAATTGTTATTTAAAAAAATATAAAAAAATAAATAAATCATAATTTGAAAAATTATTGATTCGAAAATAATATGATATAGTACAATTATGTCTGGGTCTCTGTGTTTCATTAAAGCTCGGCTCTGTGTGTGTTTGGAATGAGCCATTTTGTGTGCGTGTGTGAGCGAGAGAGAGAGAGAGAGAGCGCACCGGTATCGGAGATCGTTGTTGTTAGCTTCTGGTGCTAGCGAGCTACGCTAACGGATATAAGGAGTTTTTTCAACAACAAAGTGGAGGAGTGTCCTCTCCTGTCAGACTGAGAGGCTCAGTGAGCTTAAGGACACTCAGTGTTTAGATAGTTAACTTTAGTTATCTCAGTGCCAGTGGGTCTCAAACGGTTTGGTCACCATTAATGTAAACAATTATTTCCGAGGCACACGTTTATATGATCATTATAGTTATAAAATAAGAGAATAAATGAAAAACAGGTATGAAATACTATATGACAGTAAAAAAAGAATAAAGTTTAAAAGGGTGATTTGTAAAATATCCATAAAGAAAAAGTTAATCTGTTAACAGTTCTGTTTCATATGGGTGTTGAGATGTATCCATAGATCTCTTCATTTTGCTCTCAAAGTGCACCAGATTAATGCATTTAACTTCAATATTTAAAAAAGAATCTTCCCTGGGGAACATGCCACTGGACCCCCCTATGTGAGGTCCACACACCACTTTTACTTTACCCCTGCTTACACCTATATGCCGTGAGCTGATTATCGAGCCCTCATTGTAACAGTCGCAGGTACACTGTGTATTTGCGGGGGGAGTGTTGCAGTAGAAAATTCAACTGTAGCGACTGGCACATTAATGGGAAACCCTAAATGTTTGAGCACCCTCTATGAAACGTCAAGCTACCCCACAGCACCCCCAAAATACATTTCTGGCGCCGCCACTGAGCCTGCAACCCCGTTTTGAAGAAATGTGCTGTGCAAAGCAGGCTCATTGCAGCCACTAATGCTGTGATAAGACACACTTTTTTGCCAAATATCAACATTTTCTTTGCAAAGTGGCTAAGTATTAAAACGTATTGTTCTAGCAAAGGGATTGCACAATTGTATTATGTATTTATTTTTTTGACCACACAGACTTATGGAGCATTGTTTTATTATCACTGTTCTAGCAAAGTTATTTTTTTTTAAAGGAATGCTCACGTTCATATTGATGTATTTTAATAAATGTTAACTTGGCCCATTACGTGACTATTTGTGTTGGGGGGGCATGACAGAAAAAGTTTGAGAACCACTGCTCTAATGTTAAATGAATGTTTGGGTAGTCTGAGCTCAAGTACCTGTGCGCAGGATGCGGCTGAGCAGTGGTGGGGGGGGACAGGAAGGGCTGGTCCTGGCAGGACTGCACCACGGAGCCCACCACTGAGACCAGGATCCGAGCGTTCTCCTCCCGCAGGTTCACTCCCGCCATGGAGGCCACGTCATTGATGTCATCATCTTCTCTGGGACGCACAGGAACAGACGCACGTGCACACAGACACATTAGATGAAGGGAAATGGCCAATTTTAAATCCTTTACACCAAAGATGTATGAACTACGTGTATTACTTGTAAGATCCTGAGCTGTCCTTGAAAGCAAACTTGGTGGGACGATCCTGAATGACAGGCTGCTTCAGTGTAAATGTTCCTGAAAAAACAGCCGTAACAAATTCATGTGGAAGGTAGCATTTTAGTCTGGTTGACTATCAACTTCACTTTGCTTATTTTTTAGGAAACAAACACTCATTTCAGAAATGTGAGTTTGGTCAATTCCGTGACTGCTTGCCACTTTGAAGGGTAAAATATCCTCTCCACTTGGTTGTCTATATTTGGATAATGAAATCTCATCAGGGGGCTTTTGCAATCTACACCTGGTATCATTACTATCTTGGTATCATGATTTGGACAGAATAGGGATTCAATCTCAATATGCAAATGAAATAACACTAGCTGAGTCTAGCTGAGTCTAGCTGAGATGATTGTGGGAAGTGGACTACTGCATCCAATATTTTTGGAAGTTATTAATAGTAATAGTTAGAAAGTGAATGTTATGAATGAACATGTGAACTTTTTGGTTTGTGATAATAATGATAAGGTTAAACGGAACTTTGTTCAAGTTTAGTTGCCCAGAATTTTAAAATACGAGCCGATAATGTTTCAATGTCTAAAATTGAATATTCAAAACCTTGTATACATTATATTTACATAACCTTAACTGGAAAGCTTGCAGAAGCTAAAGTTTCTATTATTTTAAAACTCAGGCACTGAACCATGCCCCCACACGCCCCAGGGATCTTGAGTAACTGTGATTGGAAGATATAAATAATAGAAACGGTTCCCCAATCCTACTCTGTGTAGTTACATCCCCATTACAGATCTTAATACCAGGTGGACATAAGATGTAGAAGCCTGTTTTACAAAGAACATTCAGCCAGTGATGTTGGTCAGCTAATCACACTTCATTAATCCTATACACACAGAAAACTGTCCATTTTAATGTGATAACTAATGACATCTCCTCAGACTGTATGCCTTCACCATGACCATTTAGCGGAACTGAAGGTTAAGAATTGGCAAGAATGACAATCAACTTGTGACATTCCCACAGATCCCCCTCCCCTCACTGTTACCTGTGAAGTTTCTGGGGCTGGGTTTGCTGATCTTAGACATGTCAATTCTGGGCTGAGCAAAAGTCACCAACCCAGATGTCAGAGTCACGGCTCGAGGCTGCTGGGTAACCTGCAATTCAAGGAAATTCATTAAGATGAGAGTTAGTGTCCCAGAGGGAGACATAGCCAGCACAGAAACAATATTTCATTTGGACTATGTGCCGATAACGCTCTGATCCGATATTATTTTCCTACATAATACAGCTGCACGGTGCAAACTCTTAACTGCATTACCATCATTCAAATAAGGGGTGTACTGATTGTAGGGCTGTTCCGAATACCATTTTTCGGGCTCCGGATATTCGGTAGTAATCAGCAGCGAATATTCGGATATTCATTTTATTCACGGCATTCATTTTGTTATCCTACAGTATTGTTGTTTTATAGTTATTTGTTAATGTAACCCAATTTGTGTTCTTTGAAATTGAAAAGTGTTAGCACCCCCTGAAGAGGCACAAGCTCTTACGTTGATATTGGAGATTTCAATAAATTCAACAACAAAAAAACAGGGAAAAAAAAGAATATCCGAATAACTAAATTGAAACCCGGATAGTACTCCAACGAACGAATATTCGGGTACAGCCCTAACTGATTGCAGATCTTTCAGGTGATAGAGATGTGTAGAATAACAGTTTGGCCAATGCTGATCATTATGTTCATATTTCACCCTTTTGGAAACAAATATATCTTCATTCAACTTTGAATGGGAACACAATCCTAAAAGATTGCTTTTACCATAGCTTCTTCAGGCTGCTTTACAATTAACTACGCAATGAAAATGTTTTAAGTACCAATAGTAAGTGGTTGAGTTTGACTTTTTTGTTGTACGTCATAATCTATCATTACCTGTTGCATCCCTAATTATTATTGAGAATGCTGTTGTTCTTTGTAAAATGTACACTGCTCACCATATTTCATGTGTTTACCTTCAGGCTGGTACTGAGGCTGTGTCCTGTGACAGTGCTGTTCTGCTTCATGGTGGTCAGCAGAGTGTTGTTGTTGTTGTTATTAGTGTTGTTGTTGTCGCTGCGGACAGGAGTTGAAGCCTGTTGGATAAACAGCTGCGGGTCTGCAGTGAGGCGACGAACTGCAGGAAGACTTTTCTAGTAGAAATCACAAAAATAAAAGAAGTCATGTCATCAGTCAAATTCCATTTTGACACCAGAATGCTTATTTAATTGTTTATATGAAGACTTAACTAGGAGTTCAAATTACATTTTATTCACCAAACAATGGGTAGAGCTCAGGTAAAACTAATTGGTAAAGTTAAATGGAAAAGCAGAAGGAGATAGCCTGACAACAATCCAGTTTCATCTTTTTAATCAAGTCACTTATATAATTAACATACATAAGTAGAAGGTTGATGTGATCGGTTTGTCATTTGAACTATTGAAAGGGATTATTAAGGTTAGCCAAAAACGAAAAGCTTCCAGCCGAATCTCTGCTGACCTTGAGAAAAGGCACCAAGCAGGACTGTGGAGTCGACTTCAGCTCTCGATAGAGCTGCTCTGTGAACTCCTCTGCTTCCAGCTTCCCCTCCTGCAGGATAGAAAAAAAGGAAACATATTATTGTCAGGTATTGAAGTGCTTTTCCAGCCTAAATGGACATCTTTTAATATCATTTAGACATTAGAAGATGTTGTGAGTAGTGCCATACCAGCAGACTCCGGACCAGTCCGCGCACGTTGTTGGCCATGTTGGGTGACCGTGAGTCACTGGAGGCCAGCTTGATCAGAGTCACCAGGAAGTTCTTGCACTTCTTCACACTCTCCAGGGTAGCCTGGGGGTGAAATGTCAGGTAACAACACATCTTTATTAAGGTTTACTCTAGGGCTGCTCAATTAATCGTATTTCAATCGCAATTACGATTTTGGCTTGCAACGATTATGAAAATAACATAATCGAAATAAAACGATTATTTATTATTTTTTTGGTTTTTCAGTTGAATTATGCTTAAAGTTCTGGGTAATCAACTGTTAAAAACATACTGTTCACATTTTTTTGAATCGTTTTTAATAATCGTGATATCAATTATTGACCCAAATAATCGAGATTATGATTTTTACCATAATCGAGCAGCCCTAGTTTACTCACAAATATATTTCGGCTGACACACAGTATACCTCTAAACTGTTACATAGGCTAATCAATGGCTGTGTTCACTGGCCTAAATTGTCTATGTAGCAAAACGATATATTGGTGAAAGGAAAGAATACATGGTGACTACAGGTAAAACAAACAGAAAATGTTCTTGGATATTGCTCAGATGAAACACAGAAGACGGACGGCATGACTTCAACAGTTTGAACACAACGTTTTTGTACTAAAAAACTAAATTGTGTCTGGAGGCAGAAAAATGTAATCCCCCCCAGGCGGTGGTGGAAACTAACTAAGTGCATTTCTCAAATATTGTACTCAAGTACCTTTTTTATATATTTGTACTTAACTTGAGTATTTCCATGTATTGCTGCGTTATACTTCAACACAACCTGCATTTTACTCCACTACATTTATTTTAACACAGTTACTACTTTGTACATATACAAAAACATGATATGGTATAATGCTGTACTGTACTGCTAATCTACACAGTACAGTGGGGCAAAAAAGTATTTAGTCAGACACCAGTTGTGCAAGTTCTCCCACTTAAAAAGATGAGGCCTGTAATTGTCATCCTAGGTACACTTCAACTATGAGACAGAATGGGGGGAAAGAATCCAGGAAATCACATTGTAGGATTTTTAATGAATTAATTGGTAAATTCCTCTGTAAAATAAGTATTTGGTCACCTACAAACAAACAAGATTTCTGGCTCTCACAGACCTGTAACTTCTTCTTTAAGAGCCTCCTCTGTCCTCCACTTGTTAACTGTATTAATGGCACCGGTTTGAACTCGTTATCAGTATAAAAGATAACTGTCCACAACCTCAAACAGTCACACTCCAAACTCCACTATGGCCAAGACCAAAGAGCTGTCAAAGGACACCAGAAACACAATTGTAGACCTGCACCAGGCTGGGAAGACTGAATCTGCAATAGGTAAGCAGCTTGGTGTGAAGAAATTAACTGTGGGGGCAATTATTAGAAAATGGAAGACATATAAGACCACTGATAATCTCCCTCGATCTGGGGCTCCACGCAAGATCTCACCCCGTGGGGTCAAAATGATCACAAGAACGGTGAGCAAAAATCCCAGAACCACACGGGGGGGAACTAGTCAATGACCTGCAGAGAGCTGGGACCAAAGTAACAAAGACTACCATCAGTAACACACTACGCCGCCAGGGACTCAAATCCTGCAGTGCCAGACGTGTCCCCCTGCTTAAGCCAGTACATGTCCAGGCCCATCTGAAGTTTGCTAGAGAGCATTTAGATGATCGAGAAGAGGATTGGGAGAATGTCATATGGTCAGATGAAACCAAAATAGAACTTTTTGGTAAAAACTCAACTAGACGTGTTTGGAGGAGAAAGAATGCTGAGTTGCATCCAAAGAACACCATACCTACTGTGAAACATGGGGGTGGAAACATCATGCTTTGGGGCTGTCTTTCTGCAAAGGGACCAGGACGACTGATCCGTGTAAAGGAAAGAATGAATGGGGCCATGTATCGTGAGATTTTGAGTGACAACCTCCTTTCATCAGCAAGGGCATTGAAGATGAAACGTGGCTGGGTCTTTCAGCATGACAATGATCCCAAACACACCGCCCGGGCAACGAAGGAGTGGCTTCGTAAGAAGCATTTCAAAGTCCTGAAGTGGCCTAGCCAGTCTCCAGATCTCAACCCCATAGAAAATCTTTGGAGGGAGTTGAAAGTCCATGTTGCCCAGCGACAGCCCCAAAACATCACTGCTCTAGAGGAGATCTGCATGGAGGAATGGGCCAAAATACCAGCAACAGTGTGAAAACCTTGTGAAGACTTACAGAAAACGTTTGACCTCTGTCATTGCCAACAAAGGGTATATAACAAAGTATTGAGATGAACTTTTGTTATTGACCAAATACTTATTTTCCACCATAATTTGCAAATAAATTCTTTAAAAATCAGACAATGTGATTTTCTTCCCCCATTCTGTCTCTCATAGTTGAGGTATACCTAGGATGAAAATTACAGGCCTCTCTCATCTTTTTAAGTGGGAGAACTTGCACAATTGGTGGCTGACTAAATACTTTTTTGCCCCACTGTATTTCAAGTATCTAAATTCGGTCCACATTAAACAACTACATTACTAAAATGCTCTTATAAAAACAGTAGGGCTGCTCCGATCGATCGGTCACCGATCGAGATCGGCCGATACTCACTCTCTACCGATCGATCGGTGCTCTCTAAACATGCCGATCGCGAGAGCCGATCGCATGACGTAAAATACATGACACTTTTCTCTGTGTGCGGCAAAACAAGCTCGCCAAAATGGCTTCACCGGTCTGGCATTATTTTAAGGTGTCCGAAAAAGACAGTAAAATAGCGGTATGCAACGTGTGTGAAGCAGAAATCCTGCAGCTCCGCCCGCCGGACAGGTAAGCGCAGCGAAACACACACACAGGGAGAACCAGACCGCAGTTCATTTCCTCATATTCCAAACGAGAAATTACGGTAGCAAATCACCCGGTTCTTTACGACCAGAACTATTAACGGGATACAAACCGGAGGAACCAGGCATGGAGGGAGGTGGCAGAGACAGTGGGTGAAACTGGTAGGTTTTCGCCTGTTTGGGGAGTTTACATATATATATATATTGCTCGCATAAAATCCCTGGGGTTTTTTGCTTTGTATGTCGGGGGCGGGAGATTCATGTGATTGGTTGTTGGTCGCGTTGCTCGCAAAAAATCCCCAAGCTTTCAGACACGTTCAGCTCCAAGATTTTTGAAAAGCTGCTGTGTGGACGTACCGTAAGAGTTAGACCTAACACACTTAGCTATTTTATCTACCTCTGGAACAAGCTAAACTAGTTATTATAAATATATGTATTCTTCATTGTCGGGTCACTCATTACTGGATCAGTGAGCTGCATGAGATACTGACAGGCTGTCAGGAGAGAGAGAGAGGGGGGAGAGAGAGAGGGAGAGAGGAAAAGAGAGCGCTTCTGCTAATTTCTCCCGTGTTATTATCCAAAGTGAATGTAAACTTGAATAATTTACATCATTTGAATGTAATAATTAAGTTGATTGTTGTTTGTGGAAGCTCCAGTGAATGAGCCCCATTAACTGAGTTTTAAACATCACTTTAAATGGAAGATTTAAAGTGATGTTTAAATCTTCCATTTAGGCCCCGCCCACTCGATCGGATCGGTGATCGGTATCGGCCGATACTGATTCCGGCGATCGGCCCCGAAATTGGCGATCGGAGCATCCCTAAAAAACAGGATAATATAAATGACCACAATAATAAAATACTGTGAAATATCCACTCTGCAAGTAGTAATATTTTAAAATCAGAACTTTTACTTGTAGTGGAGTATTTTAAGACCGTAGTATTTTTGACTGTTACTTTAGTAAAGGATCAAAGTACTTCTTCCAACACGTTCTCCAGGCAACATTGCTGAACTGTCGAAGGAGTTTTTTTAACCCTCAGTAACTGTTATTGACAATCATGAAATGATATCAAATAATTGTACCAATATGTTGGTACTATTGGAAACAGGTCCGCTAATAATACCAAGGAAAAATGCTATCATAATAACGTTTTTTTTGTTAGTATTTTCTGCAAGTCATCACACAAACCTACATGAAATACTCTCTACCCTGATGTTGCAGTTTCAGATCTAAATTAGTTTCAAGTGCAGGTCAGAGTTGGGACTGCAGAGACTCACCTGACTAATGGCGCCTGCTGGATCCTTCTTGGTTTCCGTGACGACAGTCTGAATACGGAGCTGGCCCCCCCGTTCAGACACAGCGCTGAGAGGCTGCACTACGGCTGGTTTGGGAGCTACACCCATCACCTGAACAATACAATCCATCGCCTTAAAACTAATAACACAATCATATCAAATGAACTAATGTTCAGGTAACAGGCATCCATACTGCTGGATTATGCATGTGTGAGTGGTTGTGGTAAGAAGTGGAGATACAACTTGCTGGGATGTAAACACTGACAGGTCAGGTAGCCTTTACATGAGTCAGTGTAATCTGTATATAGGTACCTGCATTTAAAAAAAACTCATGCACCTGCAAGTTTGGACAAATGTAATTTTGGTTTCAATTTGATACTAGTAGAAGTGCACCATGTTCCCCTAAATAGAAGTATTTTTACACCAGTTACAAGTACATTATTGTACTGGTACAGATTATTTATGGAGAAAAATCTGATGAATACATAAATTAAACCTACGGGACTCATATACCTTGTTATCTCAATAAACGTTTAGCCTTCCAGTACTGTGGGGAGCCCTGCCAACTATCCGAGACTGGAAAGGAGATGCAACTAGGGCTGCACAAGTTATTGAAATGTTATCAAATTTCCACAATATGCACTATTACATTACGCAAAATCGCAGTTAGCGGAATAAGTCCCGCTAGAAGTCCCAGTCTACAAATAATATTCAGACTTGAGGTTCCTCATATAAATAAAAAAAACAAAATCTGATATTTTCAAGCAAGCTGTGGATTATAATTTCTCATAATTCTTGTTATTTGTAACAAGTAATGTTGAAATGCAGTAAAAATACTCATGACCATATATACATGAGTTGCTGTCAGTGATGGTAAGAGTAAAGCAGCCAGTGTACCTTCACCATAGCTGTCTTCTGGACTGGAGCTGGTTGGAAACTGGGAGGGGTGGTCAGCCTGATCACCGTCACCTTCTCATTACTCTTATTTCCAGCTGCTGCAGATACCTGAATAACAGACTTGACAGCTAGTGAAGACCACACAAGTGAGGATGTCATTTGTCCGCGTCAGTATCAAACTATAATGACTGCCTCACTGTTCAGTCAGTCAAGTTGCAGTTTACACTCATGTCTGCCTGACATTTTAACACATTTCTTCAAGGTATTCTTGAGATTCGCAAACAAAAAGAATGGGACAGACGTAAAAGGACAACACGGAAAACGTAAATCATTGAGCCATGGATTTCATTGGCCTCGAGGCGCATACAATCAAATCAGCAGTACACCAAATACCTGAGGGACCAGTATTTTTGGTGCTTGACCACCGACGCCTCTTGGTGCCTGCTGGGCCTGTGCTAAAGCCTGCTGGGAGACCAGCATCAGCTGACCACTCTCGCTGCGGATCAACATCATACCTGCCAGAAGGAGGGTCTGAAATCACTACCTGCAATTAACTGACGATTGTCCTGAAAAACGGGTGATGGGTAAAGTGTAAGGATGTGTACATCGTTGACCAAACATAGTTGGGGAATTATTTAAGAAATAAATTACTTTTTGATCCAACACCTTTGTATTTAAAACACATTTTCTTGAGTGTTAGAACGTGAATTGTTTAACAAGAATGATTCAAACTTTAGCACTTGCATTTCTGACATTTAAAACAACACTACCTTCTCAAACACACTATACAAGAACATAGTGTTCTGCATGGAAGTATATTAATGGAAGTATCCAAATTGAGACACAGTGACAATCTAAAGACTATGAGATTAGTATTTTCGATGGGAAAATATATGTTAAAATCTGTAAACATGAGTTATATTATTAGAAGAGAACATCACCGATCAGGGCAAACATTTGGACCACAAGCATGTAGAGGCCGACTCACCTGGTGGGATCTGGAAATTGGCAGGGAGCTGTGTGGAGGTGGTGTGTGGCATCCGGGGGGCCACACTCACTGGCTGAGGACCCGTTGCCCTGGGTACCGTTATAACCAGCGTCCTTCCTTGGGTTGTGGCCTGGGTCATGGAGGCAACCTGGCTCAAAGCTGCTTTTGTTACCTGTGGTTGGATTTTAGCACTCACTCCTCCTGAGGTAGTCACCTTCGATACCACCATGACAGAAGGAGAGGAAGTGTGTCTGGCTGTCAGCACTGTGGAGGAGGTGGTTTGATGGACTTGGCTGGCGGTGATGATTTTAGGTGGGGCTATGACAGTGCTGGATTTACATGTGGTTGGGACCTGTACAATCTTCACTTGAACTGAGTGGTCTCCGTCCCCTGATGCCCAACACGACTCCAGCTTTGGGGGTCCACAACCCACTTTATTTGTGGACATAATTGTTTCTGAAAAAAACCAATGTAATTTTAAACATTATCCAATAAATGATATAGCTTATTTTGTTATCAATTGTTATATCGTTAAGCGATGCTACATTTTCCCAAGCTGCACCCCTTTGAAAAACATTTCAAACTTAACAGTAACATTACGCTCGGAGGTGGGAAAAGTATTTAGATCTATTAGTTAAGTAAACGTAATAATACTACACTGTAAACATATTTTAAGTAAAAGTACTGCATTTAAAATGGTATTTAAGTATGACCAGGAATATGCACCTATAGTATGAGTAAAAGTAGACATTGCAGAAAAAGCAGAAAATCTTGCAAATGTTTCCTAAGAATTACCTTGCAGTTGTTAAACCTTTCCGTCTCGGACTTATTGTTTTATGTACTTAATTAGAATGTTGGATTGTTTAATTTACATGAGCTATTTCAAACATTCTTCATTATTTGTGTGTACAAATCTGCACCAATAAAGTCACTAAACCTATCAAATAAATGTAGAAATAAGAAGTGGCACATTAAGAAAATAATCAAGTGAAGTACAATTACCTGAAATGTGAACTTAAGTACACTAATTGAGTAACTGTACTTAGTTACTTTCCACCACTGGTTACGCTAAATAGAAAATGGACCTTACATGCCTTGTTCTGAGTGAAGACATTTCACCAGTCTGACTCTCATGAAATACTGACATTATTCAGCTTATTAACTTCAAGTCATTTCAACTTCCAAATTCACCACAAATGTACTCTACTCCTACTGAAAGAAGAATATAATTGTTGGAAGAAGTACTCAGATCCTTTACTTAAGTAAAAGTACAAATACAATATCTTAAAATACTCCATTACAAGTAAAAGTCCTGATTTCTAATCTTTACAAAAGTATTAAAAGACAAATATTATAATTTGTTCACAATGGCCTATTTCAAAACTATATAAAGTACAGCATGACTTATTAGCTAAATGTACTTTTGTAAAAGTATCAAAAGTAAAAGTACTTATCTTTTCACAGAATTAAATGATTATGGTAAGTAGCTTCAAGAGATAGTACTACGATAGTAGTGCACCTGTGTGTCAAAATAAATGTAATGGAGTAAAAAGTACAATATTTGCCTCTGAAATGTCGAGTAGAAGTACAAAGTAGCATTAAGTGGAAATACTCAAGTACAAATACGTCAAAAAAAGTACTTAAATACAATACTTGAGTAAATGTACTTAGTTATTTTAACCACGGAAGACTAGCTAACATTAGCTAAATTGGCTAACCTTAGCCAAGTAAAAATGGGGAAATATTAAGTAGGCTATACGTAAAAATGGATTTCTATCTTATGTTTTCGACCTACTAACTGGTGTGAAGTCAGTTTTTCAACTTTAGACAAGGCCAAGTTTGACATAAACACGTTCAACATTAAAGGAATGTAACATAATGTAAGCTCGTGCTATTTTAGCGCTAACATTTTAGATGGGAGTTTGGCGTTATTGCTTCGGGAACACACTTTTCCCGCAGAATCAGTTACAATTCCGTGTGGAAAAATTGATCCAATTCCATCATAACTCAGTCCTCCCAATGGATTAACTTTAGGAGAACCAATGAAGTCAGTCAGTCACGAGCTCACCTGTTGGATGTGTTTTTGGAGTGGCGTGAGGTGAGCGGGGTGGCTGAACTCACCAGGGACCAGTGCTGCATTTGGGGAACACAGGAAAGAATGGCTAACCATGAATTGCTTCGGCTAAAAAAACAGGATTTAACCTATTTTATAAAATGATGTGTGAATTAAGCTTTGTGACAGAATGAATGTGAACTGAACAATTATACTTTATCCAAATATGATTTAATTTAACACCATTAGTCCTTTTGATCAGCATCAGTTTTATTACCAAGTAGGTTTACAAATAAAAGGAATTTGCTTTTGAATAAGTTATAATGTGATATACTCCTGTGACACTGTAGTACCACCTATGAGTACCACATACATACATAAATGAAATAATAGTTACATTAAACTGTTATTAATGTACATCTTATGTTGCAACATACACACCTTTTCAATTATCTAAATATTTCCGTCACTTTAACTTGCTTTGCAATTTTGCCATAGAAAAAAGTGAAAAGAGTAGGATATTATCCTGCACAATTATGGCCGGAAAGGTGATCATGCGTATTTTGATTTATGTTGAGATCAAGAAGATTCATTATGATTATTTATTGATGTAGGATAAGTGACAAAAACATATTATTGCACGTTTGAATTCACATTTCTTTCTATCATTTCATAATTGTACTATATTCCTGCTAATGTACAAATTAGGGCTGCATTTTCTAATATGACTTTTTAGTGGATTTTTAAAGGATAGACATCGTGTAAAACTCTTATACAGTAGTACAAGTACTTCTGGCTCTGTGTCACCTAAACTCGTCTCTCTGTGTGTGTGTGTGCGCGCGCGTGTGTCAAGGTAAATCTAAGTGTTATTCCATTACTGCAATTCTTGCACAAATTCATATTTTTACTAAAAAATGTAGTGTTTTTCAAATGTCACTTCGAAAATAAAAAGTTACAATTATACAATTTTTTTTAATGTTGCCTGTAAATAAAAAAATAATTGGTATGCGTTATTTCTTAGAAAAGAAACAATAAATTAAAAAAATGTTATGCAGGAACAAAACCTTTAAAACTGATCATTTGTATGATATTGTATAACAACAATATACTACCTGCAAGTGTTCAGCCAGTTTGGGCAAATATCCAGAAATGATGCAGATCTTACATGTATGCATATAAAATGAATTTAGCTCTCAAGAATGTTTTGCCCAGAATCAAAAGCATTGAACTCAACACTTAAATCACCAACACAACTTATTTAATTGAATAACTTTACAGCCAAATGATTGCCAAAATGGCGATAGCATTCTGATATGAAATGACTTTGATATAACATAAGAAAGGTTAGATCATGTTAAGTATTCACTACATTTCAATAATTACACGCTCTCTGATGATGAAGGTAATTGATAGAACTTTAAGAGAGAAGGATAAATAAGAGGCTCTAGACTGCAGATTGAAAAGGAAGAAACATCCAGGAGGAAACTCATATCCTCTGTTCCTTTTGCAGCTTTACCAACATCTGATGGGTCAACATTCACAATAATACAAAAAGTCAATGCTTTTGTTATATCACAAATACAAACATTATACTTTAAACTCAAAGCGGCAGTTGACTAGTCTCAACAACAGAGTAGAGCAGTGATGAAGTGTTTTTGTAGGCCAACCCGGAAGTTAACATTGCAAGGTTAAGTAAAGGTTAAGTAAAAAGCTAATGTTAGGCTATAAACTCAACTAAATCACGGTCGCATGACTTCATGTCACCACGGCTAACTAAAAGCAGCTAGTTAGCCATGCTGACATTAAGCAGTCTCATTTAAACATTTGTTAGCAACCGCCTTTTTTTTTTTAAACACATGAAAGCTTTGGATAATCACGAACGGGGTAATCACTGGCATATTTTGGGTTGTTGAACAAAACGGAAACATCACAGGCGTCCAATCAATAACATGTTAAAAAGAAAACGGAATGATTCTAAGGTTTATTGACTCATTCCTGCATCACTAGAGATGTTAGAGCCATTAAACAAAGTAACTACTCCAGTTGTTCATTATGAAGAAAAGAAACCTGATAATGATGTCATCAAGGTTTACAAAGAGACTCAAAAATGTCCTCTAGTCATTTCACTCTTGATTTTGTAATTCAACTTTATTTAAAAGACCAGTTTATTGTTGGAAAAGCCTCCTTTAAGCTCCGCCTCCTCTTTCCTGTCTACCTCCCGCCTCCCAGCAGATGTAAGACTAACTCCTCGTCTTCAGCCAGAGACAGGCCAGTGTCCAGGGGCGTGTTATCCTCCTTCTCTTGCCTCGCTTTCTTCCTCTTCCCCACTGTGTGCTCCTCCTCTTCCTCACCGCTGCTGTGCTGCCGTTTGGCTGCTGTCACCTCCTCCTCCTCCTCCTCCTCAGATCTCACTTTGTCAGGGTCTGGCAGGGAGCTTGGGTCAAACTCGTCGTCGCTGTGATTGGCCAGGTAAGCAATCACCTCGTCTTCCTCATCGTCAGACTTGTTTCTGTGCTTGCTGGTCTCCTTCCTGGCAGCCTTGGCCTTCAGCCTCTTCTCCGTGTGTTTGGCCTTCACCTTGCGTCTGTACTCCAGCTTGTCGAACTCCTGGTCCTCGCGCTTCAGCCTCTCCCTGGCCTTCTCCATGTTGATCCCTGAAACCCCCTCGTCTTCATCATCAGCAGTCACCGCCCGTTGCACAGGGGGCCACGTCTGCACGGCCTGTCCTTCCTCACTGAACGTCACTTTGGTGTTGACCTGGAAGTTTCTCTTGAGGATCTTTTTGGCTTCTTTAAACTTCGTCTCTGTTTCCACTTTCACATTCGAGTCCTCGTCAGGTTCATCTGAACCCTCGCCATCCCCCGTCAGATTGAACACGTCTTTTCTTTTGACTGTCAGCAAGTCCAAGTCTCTTAGATCATCTTCGTCCTCATCGCTGTCTGCACCCAGACCTAATACCTTCTGATCCTCATCTCCTTCCCTACCACCTTCCTCCTCATCATCACCTGACTCTTCTGACTCTGAGCTCTGACTTTCCTCCGGATTGTTCCCCTTCAGCTGGGCCTTAAAGCTCTTCAGCTCCACCTCTTCTTCACACTCCTCCTCCTCCTCCTCTCTCTTTGCTTCTTTCTCCTCTTTCTGTGCCTGGGCTTTACTCAGGAAGCGAACCCTCGGAGCCACGGCGAGGCCTAGAGAATGAGCGTAATCGTTGAGCTTGAGTTTGAAGGCATCAAACACCTCTTTGTTCTTCATGAGGAAGACGGAGCGCAGGTAGGAAACGAAACACCTCTGAGCTCTCTCCTTCTGCTCCTGCTCCTGGGCCAGGAAGGCCTGCAGCTTCTGCTGAATGTTCTGCAGCTTCTCTGGGTTCACCTGCGACCAATCAGAAAACACAACTGATCAACACATGTTGTGTACTGCTCTTTTGTTGTATCCAACACTTGTATATTGCTTGTGTTGCATTTTGGAGTGTCTGACCAATAACATCATTTATAAATGGTAGCTGAAAAATGAAAATCTATATATCGAGATAACATATGCATATAATAATGTTGTCTAAGTTAACAATAAAAAGCACAAACTAACTCACATTTCTCAGAAAAACTGATGTGAAATGATTTAAAGGATTCATCCAAGACTGCTTAGGGGGATATCTCAGTGTAATACATACTAAGCTTGTATCACTCCTAGAAATGCAGAAAACATATTTCTTAGTAGGCTTAAAGCACTTCAGTGTTGAAAGGCTTCAAGCCAAATACAATATTGACATTCTCCCACTAATCAGCGAATTTGATGTCACTCATATAACTCCAGAAAGAAGTTTGGTCACTGACCTCTGATCATCTTCAGTTTCTGAAACAAGCAGCACTGAGAAATGACAACAACCCTTTGTAACTTGTAATGTATGACGTGTAATCACATTTTGTTGATGACCAGTGTTGCAGATGGGTTTGTTTTCATCTGCTCAATGTGTGTGCGTGTGCGTGTGTGTGTGTGTGTGTGTGGATGTCGGGGGTCTAACCTGGATCTTATTGATGGGGACCTTCTTCTCCTGCAGCTGTCCAATCATACCCTTCTCCTCAGAGGGCAGCAGCAGCAGGAGGGCTTCCCCACCCTCCTTGTACCTGGCGGTGCGGCCCACCCTGTGGATGTAGGTGTCTGCATCCTCCGGACAGTCGAACTGCAGCACCCAGTTGACCGTGGGGAAGTCCAGGCCTCTGGCGGCTATATCTGTGGCTAAGAGCACCGCGTTCTTCTTTCTGAGGAAGTCGTTGTACACCTCCACCCTCTTCATCTGCTGCTGCTTGCCATGCAGAGCCAGGATGGGCATGCCAGGTCTGAGGCGACAGAGGACCCGGAACAAGTACTGCACCTCCTTGCAGCAGGCGAAGAAGACGATGATCTTCTTCTTCAGGTGGCTCCTGATGAAGGAGAACAGCATGTTGACCTTCAGGTGGAGCTCACACACCACGTAGCTCTGCTCCAGGGTGGCAGGTGTGCTGAACTTGGCCTTCTCGTGGACCCACACGTACTCTGGGTCTTTGAGGCTGAGGCGGGCCAGGTCTTTGACGGATTTGGTCTGCGTCGCGGAGAACAGCAGCGTCTGCCTGGTCTTGGGGAGGTTCTCCACAATGGCGTTGAGGGTATCCGCAAACCCCATGTCCAGGATGCGATCCGCCTCGTCAAGAACAAGCATGTGGAGGTCTGAGGCGAGGAAGGTGGCCGTCTCGTCCATGTGCTGGAGCAGGCGTCCCGGGGTGCAGATCACGATGTTGGTGTTGTGGATCCTCTCGGACTCGCTCTTCAGGTCCTTACCACCGATGATGAGCCCCGCGGAGAACTCGTGGTTCTTGCCCACCTTGCGGAGGACCTCGTAGGTTTGATAGGCGAGCTCTCTGGTGGGGGATATGATGAGGGCACCGAGGCCGTCCACTGAGCTCCACTGCTGGCGGTACAGACACTCCAGCACCGGTATGAGGAAGGCTAAAGTCTTCCCAGAGCCGGTTTTAGCAGCGCCGAGGACATCTTTACCCTGCAAAGCGTAGCCGATAGTTTGCCTCTGGATCTCGGTGGGCTGTCGGTACTGCATCCCCTGCAAACCTAACAAGGTTTTCTTTGAAATGGGGAAGTCTGAAAACCTGACAGCCTCCTTGCTGTTTATGTCAGGATACCTGCTGACTAGCTTTTCGATATACTCCCTTTCGACCTGCCACTCGGGCTTCTTTGGGGCTCTGTCGCTCTTCACTCGTGCTTTCGTCTTGTTGTATTTTTTCTTCCATTTCTCGAAGTTTCTGACGGGGTCTGCGCTGTCTTTCATCTTTGCAGGTTTAGGTTTATTCCCGGTGGATTTTTTCTCCATGATTTAAGAGTAAACCGAGCAATAAAGCAAGTTGAAAACACACTGGCAGTACCTTCTTGTAAACAACGTGGAGAACACGGCTCCTCGTCGCATGTTGCACTACGTCATCATCAAGCGACCTTTTTGCCCTGAGAGTTGACTGTCAGGCATATACATCCATGGTTAGGCAGCACCTCCTGCATCAAAACTATAAACGAAAGAACATATTTTAACAATTGTCACTGTTTCATTATTTGAATCTATGTTATCATATTTTGTTCTAATTCATGACCCAACATTATTCTTCCTGTTGCACTTTAAACTGGAAAACAGCAGCCTAATCAGTCAATATGGAAATGTATACACATATTAAAGTCCAATGCGTTTATATAAATCAGATTATATATATCACAATACATGCAGATCTAAAATATACAAATATCCTGTCTGAACAAGAACATTACATGACGTTCATATTTGGAAATGAACCTGGGAAGCATAACTCTGGGCGGAAAAAAATCCCTTGTCACTTGTAGTAAAAAAATGTATCATAAAAACTTTTCATATCACACACTGAATATCATACATTTGTATTTATGTTAAAATAAAATGTAATTATACTGATTATGTAACTAATATTGTATCAAGGAAGATTGGTTAAACTGTGAAAAATAACAGCATATGAAACATTCCGTTTGTCCGTAGAGAAATTGATAGTTTCGATATTCTTGCAACAATTCCCAATTAATTTTACATTTTTATTACACGGTGTATAACCATGGATGTACATAACTGAACATAAGTGATATAGCAGTGACGCTTCCTGATCACATGTCGCATGAAAACAAGGATCACGGAAATGTAATGAAAGTCTTTCCAAAATAAAAGCATATAAATAATAACATCTAATGAAACATAACCGTTAGATGCAAGTTCATCGTTAGGACCATACAGATGGTTAGGACGAAACGTTGAAAATAAGGAAAAAAGTACCATATTTAACAGTATTATTTAAGTGTATAAAAGCATGCTACAACACATCCTCCATTTAAAAAAGAAACAAAGTCTTCAGACATTGAAGATGTGTTATCAATAATGTGAAAATGTAGCACCACTAGGCCTACTATAACAACACTTCTGTTGAAATTAATAAATTGATTTTAGAATGTGTGTATTTTATCATTCCGACCAGCCCTTTTTCTATGGTGACATTTATATTCTGATAAAGGCCAAACCAATTAAAAACACATATATTTCCTCAAAAACATTCAACATTTGAATTGTCTTTAATTAAAACGCTGAATTTATTTCTTATAGTTACTTCAACTCACTTATGCTATACAAATAATGGAAATTGTGAGGGTGTTCCCATTGTGCGGATGTGAAAGAAGTACTCAGATTGTTTACTTAAGTAAAAGTAGTACTATGTTAGAATTGAAAGTCCTGTATCCAAAAGAATATCATCAAGATATACTTAAAGTTCCAATAGTAAAAGTACTCATTATGGCTAAAGGCCCATTTCAGAATCATCTATATGAAATTACTGTATCAAGATCAGATGGTGGAATAACTGCTCAGATCCTTTACTGAAATAAAAGTAGCAATACATGATGTAAAAATTATCTATTACAAATAAAAGTCCTACATTCTTAAGTAAAAGTACAGACTCAAGAGAACATGTACGTATAAAAAGCAAAAGTACTAGTTCTGCATAAAATGGCCCTTCATATGTGATAAATATTATTATATGACAATATAAGATTAATAAAATAGTTGCATCAAGCAGCATTTTGTTATTGTACACACAAACACATTTTTGTAATATGTTGTATACTTCTACTTTTTTTTACGTGAAACAGTTAGACCAGTAATTACATATTTAGATGCATTATGTAAAAAGTTGATCACATGTTTTTTAATGCAAAATCTGAAAAGTAACTAGAGCTGTTTGATATAATAGAGTAAAAAATACCTTATTTCCCTTTTAAATGTAGTGAAGTAAAAGTAGCATGACATGGAAATACACTAATGTCATATCATATAATGATGTCATTTTAAATATGCTTATGTCCGTGTAGGTCAAATACATTTTATTTTGAAAGATTTGACCGGAAACTATGCACTGTCACCCAAACTGACACTACTCTGCGAACACCTGACAAAACCAGACAAGACAAATGATAAACAAGTATTGGGCAGATTATATTCCACAAACCAAAGTGAATACCGGCCAGCTGAGGCAGCCCCTATGTAATTCACGGCATGGCAGAGAGACCGGACAATGAGGTACCTTTAACTTTTGGCTGCAGAAAGAAGAAGAAACAGGGGCTGCATATCTTTGGAAAATAAGAGCACGTTTTTTAATCAAATTGTTTGCCCTAAAAGTCTGCAGACAAAGTCCTGTTTCAATTAAAGCCTAAGTATGAGCAGTCCCAAGCAAATAGAGCTTTGCTAACACCTCTTGACGTATAGAAACTAGTGTTAGCTGTACGCTAGCTCGACAGCTAGCAATAACAACCAAGCTGCAAGTGAGCACGAGCCACGTTAGTCTCGAGCTAACAGTTACATTTAAGTTAAAATGTCTGGCTCTGCAGCATAGTGTTGATGAATGCAGCATAGCGATGCAGTGTCTTGGTAACTACAGTTTTGTTGTGCATTTTATTTAAGAAATGCATTAAGTTTGAGAAGAGGTGTAAGAAATACTCAGATCTTTCACTTAAGTCAAACATATTAATACTACATTGTAAACATACTCTGTATGTACAATTCCTCCATTCAAAAGTGTACTTAAGTACAAAATACAAAAAGGATTGGCATCAATATATACTTCAAGTACAAACAAAAAAAGTACACATTTCCTAGTAGGCTATTGCCCATATCAGATTAAGCAAATATAACATTTTCTATTAGGATTATTATGAATGCATTTATGTCAATGTTCACTTGGTAAAGGTAGGGATTATTTAAAGGACTTGATATACTGCTAGGTAGCTTAACATATAATAATGATTTATTGGTTGATTCATAGTCTTAGAGGTCCATTCCTGCAAAGTAGCTAGTAACTAATATTGTTAAATGAAGTAAAAAATCAGGTAGCATAGCACGAAAATCCTCAAGTGACGTACAAGTACCTGAACACTTTACCTAAGTACAGCATTTGCACAGTTGTTCTTAGTTACATTTCAGTTTTGAGTATGAATCTTAACTTGCAAGTCAGTGTCAACATGTGAGTTTTCAGATTTACTACAGGAAGACTAATGTTAATAAGATGTATTAGTTGGTGCAATAACAGAGGCTAACTCAGTGCTGTATTCTTAGTCGGTATAAAAAAACTGACCACTTCCCACCCTAATAATGCAAAACATACTCTACTGTACTGCTCCTAATGCTGACAATGTTCTATGTCACTGGAAGGTGGAGGAGGCGGACCAAATCTACCTCCTGATGAAGGAGGAGTATCGCATCTCCAGGAATGTGCGTCTGGCCTGGTTTCTTGGTAAACTGAACCAGGTTATCTGGCCAGCATCAAAGCCTGAACTGGTGAGTTGATCACAAAGACCAAAGTCATGTGAAGATTTGTACTGTTTACTTCGAAGCCACTGTTCAAGGGCTAATGATGCTGGTATATTATTTTGGTAATATTTGAGGCAGTTGAGGGAAAAGCCCCTTATAGGTAATATTCCAAAAAACACAATAGGGCCTCTTCAAACAAATTCAATGCAGTTGTGATACATTCCTTAAAATATAATAAACAAAAAAGTCTACAAAAAGCACAAAGTTAAAAAAAGATGACCCGAAGGTGGACAAATATTTTTGTTACAGTTTCATATATTCCTGATCCTCCTAAATATTTCAAATAATACGATACTGATACTGTGTTTGACTCATTTACAGCTGAACTCGGAGAACGAGCTGGACTTGCTGAGTATCTTACCCAAAGGATGGCAGACAGATTCCCCCCCCACCACGTACCCCCACATGTTGGTGCCGTCCACTCGAGCCACCTTCCTGGCCCGGAGGTACCGCTTCATCATCGAGCTGGACCTCAGCCCCTCCACAGGGATCGTGGTAAGACTCAGTTAAGGGGTTGTAACTTGCAACAAGAAATATCTCAATCTTGTTTCTAATGTTGCTATGTCAGGATGGAATAGATCTTTCTGTATGGATAAGTATCTACACAATATCGTACATAAAACCTTAATTTGTTTCCCTCAAGTACATATCCTCTGCTGCATTGCCTTTGGGTCCAGCTACATGTATCTGAAATGTGCTACCAACCAATGTACTCTGGACGTGCTGGCATCCCATTGTGTACATTGGATTGGATAAGGCTCAAAACAATAATGTCAGTTTTATTTTGTGTTCAGAACAAACACAAATACACCTTTCTTTCAGCACGATTATTTACAATGGCAATGCAAAGAAGTGAATACATGTGAATTTGCAAAGATTATATGCATCGGTGAAAGTTGAAACATCTTTAAAACCTAATTTGACATAAAACTTTAACAAAGTACTATATTGGCTCCTGGCGAACATTCAGGTTACATACAATTACAAAAATCACTCAAGCGGCTGTTTTTGTTTAAGTTGTAAATCTGATGTAGTTATGGACTGAACAAACCTTTAGTACTTGTGTACACAAAGTGCAGTAACATCTCAAGGAGCACCTGATGATGATGATCACTAATTGCCATCCTATGCTTGAGTTACAATTCTACAGCTGAAGTTTGTATACTTTATTGTTGTCAAAGCTGCAGCTCATCCCCTTAGTCCACTGTCTGCATCCAGACTGACACGCATGGCTCTCTGTGAACATCCGATCCAATAGGTTGACACTGATCATTATTTCTAGAGATATATGAACTAAGGCAGACAGGGTCCATCGGTTATGGGAAGGATTCAAACATTCTTCATTCTTCACATTACATTGCATTTAGCTGACGCTTTTGTCCAAAGCGACTTACAATAAGTACATTCGACCAGGAAGACACAACCTTGAAGAACAGAATCATATAAGTACATCAGGTTTCATAGAGCCAAACATTTCAAGTGCTACTCAACTGGCTTTAGGTAATCCAGTCCTTTATTAGTATAAAAGTGCTTCGTTAATAGTTCTAACGCTCGAAGTGGAGTCG